CTCTGACTACATTCAATTTCTATGAATAGGTCTCAGTAACACTGTCCCATATCTCCTTAGCCGAAGACATCCAGAGATAGTGCTGACTTATATGAGGTTGCATAGAATTGACCAACCATCCTATGACAGTATAGTTCTCTTGCATCCATTTTTCAAATTCAGGGTCTATCTTTTCGGGTTTCACTTTACTACCTGTAAGATACCCAAGTTTTCCTCTACTACAGACATAAATTCTTATAGACTGTGCCCAAGCAAGATAATTTGTCCCATCTAGTTTGATTGTGGTTACACTAGTCAAAACGGAATCTACCGAGCCAAGGCCTGAAAACGACACCTGCTTGAACTCACTTCCGTATGGCTCCATTAATCAAACGAAAATCAAAGAACGAGAATTTTTGTCTGTATAAACTTGAAGTCAAACCAGAACCCAGATGCTTGAAAACTAGGGTTTTACTCCGTCCAACTGTTGGGGAGAAAGAGAGAAGATGCAGCCGCTCTTATCAGACCTTCCCAATCTCTTCCATACCTGAACCGCCCTCCTTTAGGAGTCACAAGACACCTCCCAAGCACAGAGCTCCACACCCAAGCTTCACCTTTACCTGTACCTTCGAAAATCTCTAACTAGGGTTTTGGGCAGCAACAGAACAGCACCTCTTCTTGGCAATATCCAGCCAGATTTAAACTCTCCAAACCCTCAACCAACTAGGCCAGAGATCCTCTGTACTATAGAGAACCTATCTCTCCATACACTCTCTTAACCTAGGGGTGTATGGGAAAAGAAGAAAGGAAAAAAAAAAGGAAGAAATAGACCTGCTCTGATACCAAGATGCAAATCAGTCCTCAAATATTAGGTGTACATTTGAAGATTAGAAGAAAAAGGAAGAAGAGAAGTAAGAGCAGCATTACAAGAGAAGAAGATGGCGAAAAGAGAAGGAAGAAGAAGAAGAAATCAAATCATCTCTCCTTTCTCCTCTATCCTTTTTTTTATTAAGAATTAAAGTTAGAGTAATGACAAGTATGCCCTTAAGTGGGCGGCCAGTTAGGCAGTAACATAAAGAGATACTAGGGCCCATTCGGCCCAGTCTCTTTACAGAAGCCAAGGCAGTGGGCCCACATGCTTCCCTTGGCCAAGTACTGGTGCAACACTACCTTCCAAAGCAATAGCAGGAATGACCCCATTTAGATTTTTATATGGCAGGGACCCACCCAGCCACCCCCAATTCTTCCCTATGAACTAGGTTCAACCAAGGTTGCTCTATAGTTGTCTCAAAGATTACATGATCATGTAACTAACATCAAGTAATGGGAAATACAACTTCTGATGGGGAATCTACCTACACGGCAACTAGAATTTAATCCTCCTTTTGAACTTCTGAGATATTGGGAGGTCAAGGGTCTTGGCTCTTTTCAGTAGTTGGGCCTTTGACTGACTAGATTGGGCTGGGCCTAACAGTGGGCCTTCAACCCAGTCACTGAATTAGGGGTGCAACTTGGGCAGGCTCGGTTTGGGAATTTGTTGAAAATTGAATGGCCCAGCCTGGAAGCCTGGGCTTCTGGTCTGGGTTAGAATTACAATTACAAGCAAAATTCAAAGGATTACAACTAGCATGCTCATCAGGTTTTAGGGATTTGATTATTGAAGGGGACTCTAAAACCATAATAGGATAGCTGAGATCTGAGAGAACCGATGGTCTGGGTTAATGGAAGCCTGGGCTTATGGTCTGGGTTAGAATTACAATTACAAGCAAAATTCAAAGGATTACAACTAGCATGCTCATCAGGTTTTAGGGATTTGATTATTGAAGGGGACTCTAAAACCATAATAGGATAGCTGAGATCTGAGAGAACCGATGGGCTCTTCCTCTCATTTTGGCTCCATCTAATGGTGTTGACAGTAATTTTCTATGTGGTTAAACTACTGTCCTTCCATTTGGGGACTCCAAGGTGGTAGTGGGCTGGCTGTCAAATCCAGAAACAGTCTTTTGGGGTTACAAGGACCTTTTGAAGAAAGTTAATTGGCTGACAAGGAATATGGCAGTTAGTTTTCAGTGGGTCAGCAGAATGGCAAATGCTATGGCCGATTCATTGGCTAAACAAGGGGTATCAAGGGGTGATCTGTTTTGGGCTACCTTATAATTGTAATTCCAGGTTAGAGTGTGCATTTTTATCAGTGCTCAGCTCTAAGGGGAGGTAACATCTTGTGCCTCCTCTTAGGCTGACACTTCTATGATTAATAAAATACCAATCATTTATCAAAGAAAAAAAAAACTACTGTCCTTCCATTTTCTAGTGAGTTGTTTATCCCTGTCCTTCAATTTTAGGACCATACAATTTTTGGTCAAACATTCTTCTACTTTACAACTAACCACCTTCCCTAGGTGGTTGTCATTTCTTGACCCTTATGCCCCTATCTAGACATTGCAAGTTTTTTTTCCTTAATAGAATGGATAATGCATTATATTTTTATTGATTTGAAAACTTTAAAGAAAGGGGTAGAGGCCACCCATATACATTGAGGGACTGTACAAAAACTTCCAAGTAGATACAAAAAAAAAAAATCAGGAGCTTATTTCTGTAGTCAAAAAATTGAGATGCTTGGATATCTCAGAAATCAAAAAATAGATACTAAAAAACCATTACATTCTATAGTCACATTACTAGGTGATTGTCCGTGATATTTTTCGTTTATTATATCCAAGAAATCCTGATTCCCAGAAATACTGCACGCCATTTGTTCCAATATGTGGGCATAGTTTAATAAGTGTTGAACCAATTGATTACAATTGTCTTAAAAGGCCATTACCCAATGTTGGTCCCAGCTAATGTTTTGAAAATCATAATCGTATCATAAATTGTAGGATTATTTCTATTTTTTACCAACTGTCAAAAAATTAAATAAAGATATATTAAAAGGCTACATGTATATAACAAAGTGACTTTACCCTATTTTTAATCTATATCTACCATATATGTACTTAAAACAATAAAATTTACCAATTGATTAAAAAAAAGAATTTTCCACTTATACAAAAGAAGCCTAAGATGATATAATCAAGTTTGACTCGAAAATCAAACAAATCTACATACAGCGTCCCTTTWACTTACATATGATAGAAAAATAAACTCAATTTCTAGTCTTGAATAATGCAAATAAATCATTTTCTAGTAAGGGCTTTAAAAAGAGTCTCCCATGGCAAAACTAAACATAAACCAAAAAAAAAAGTAGAGAACTAATTCTTAATTGAATTTATTTGAATCATAGTGAATTGTAAAAATCATATAAATTGTAAGATTTATGAATCAAATTCTAGGATTCAAACAAAAATCATAAGATTTTTGCTGAAAAGGATTCAGACATAAGATTCGAATTGAAACCCTTGGGATTCATGATTCAAATCATGAATCATATCGTAAACCATGAGATTTTGACAACATTTGTCCCTGCCATCTGGGGTCTCCTGATCTTTGGCTTTCTTTTTGTACAAAGTGGAAATTGATTATAATTGTGTTGCAAAATAAAAAGTAAGTTTTTGTTTTTTTGATGGTTAAGAAGTGACCTTATTGAGGTAAAGTATATTGCTAGGTTTCTTGTAAGAACTATCAGAGCATTTGTTGAGATAGATGGCCTTAAACTTTGGAATGTATAGGCTGGAACATGATGCGGCTATGGTCTTCACAACTGAGTCCGTGGTGCCTTCAAGATAGACTCTAGCTGACATTGAGGATAATCTACTTAGTGAACATATGATGTAGACATGTTATTGGTTTCCTTTTTCTGTGTGTATGTGTGCATGAACCCCTCTAGTTCTTGTATCCGTACGTGTCTTTTGCATGTAAGCGTATATGATGTGGTTGTGTCAATTTGCATAGAATTTCTTTTTCCTATTTCAGGTCTCTTGTTGTGAATAAATTATATTTGCATGAATCATTACATTATTCTTCCTTACTAGAAAGAGCCATATCGTCCCTTCTACATAGAATTCTCAGTTTATATAAATTCTTATGTGATCTATGTTGTGGGTTCTTTCTGCAGTTTCCTTTGGAGTTAGACCCATGGAAACTTATTCAGAAGCATATATTGTCAGATTATACGAACCATGAGGTAATTGATTGGTTTATGCTAACATTTATGCCTATATTTGGATGCTTCTGTTTGGTTCAACTTCTTGCTTATTCTTGAGACATCTATTTCCATTGAATCCAGGAATTTTCCTTTGGTAATTAAATTTTTTATTTGTTTTTACATTTATGGGCCCTTGAAAATGCATAGATATTATTCTTTTCATCTTCCTAAAACTCTATAGATTTGACTTCAAATTTGGAAGAAGCATTAGATTCTGATAGGACTTGTAGCATGGTAATAGCCACCTATTTGAGAGATTCCTTAAAGGCCTACACTTCACTCCACTACTTAATTAGGGAATATTCCAGCCAGTTCTGTAGTGCTCTCTTCCACTAGCATGTTCCAGCTCTTCTTGGAATTTGAATTTCCATATGATGAGAGCTTAGATGCAATTTTCCATCTTTAAATCATGAATAGTGAATATGTTGACTTTTTAGAGAATGACAGTTGGGCCTTGTATTGTAATCCTAAAGGCTCTTGTTCATGTTTTTTTCAAGGATCTGGCCTTGTGTCTTCATGGTTTTGAATGAATGAAATTTGTACTATTATTTATCCAAAAAAAACTTTCTTCAAGGATCTGGATTCAAATATCCACATGCTTTCCTGTTAGCTTTATTTAGTTAGGCTCCACTTAATGTGACACAGAGAGATGATATTCAGAGCTTTTTGTGAGTTATTTGGGCTTTAACTCAAAGTCAGAGAAAACAGTTTAAACTTCATAACTTGTGGCCTAAATTCAAGGGGTCAAAACTTGCACATATTGCTTGATTTTGGTGTCATATGAATCCTGTCTCATCATTGTGCTCTATCAACAGCTTTTAAATTATATGTCCTTATATTATTCTGATTCTTGAAATTTCTTTCCGTAAAATACTGATTTGCTGTGTACATCCATGCAGATCTGAAATATTAATTATTTGTAAAAATCTTTTTATTTATTTTTTGTCAAAAAGTGGTAATTCCTTAGTTTAAGAGATTTTCTATCTTTCTTAATAGCTTGCCGTACAGAGCCATGCTTTTGATGTCAGAAGCTTGGGACCTTGGTTTTCCCAGTGTTTTTTAAGGCTTCCAATTTTTGTATCTTTTTTGTTTGTAAATGTTATTATTCTATGGATATTCTTTATGTCCTACATGTTTCTTGTGGTTGTTGGCATGTTCAAAGAAGTTGGATTTAGTTGCAATCTGCTGTTTGTCCTAGACTTGCATAACGATTGACTATGGTTGTTGAATGTCTTCAGGGGCACGAGTTGACGTTACGCGTCCTATACAGGTTATTTAGTGAAGCAGAGCAGGAACATGACTTCTTCTCTTCTACTACTGCTACCTCAGTATATGAGACATTTCTTTTGACTGTGGTGTGTTTTCATGCTTAAGCTTCCCATATGCTGAACATTTTGCAGTATCGTACATTCCTAACAAAAAAACAAAAAAAAAATGTAGGCTGAAACACTCCGAGACTCATTTCCAGCTTCCGATAAATCATTAAGTAGGTTGCTTGGTGAAGTTCCTTACCTTCCAAAGACAACTCTTAAATTGTTAGAGTGCTTATGCTCACCTGGAAGCAACGAAAAAATTGACACGGAACTACAGAGTGGTGATCGAGTTACTCAAGGCCTCAGTGCTGTATGGAATCTGATTTTATTAAGACCTCCCATTCGAGATGTCTGCTTGAAGATTGCTTTACAGGTTTCATCTATTGTTCATTTCTTCTTTTTAGTAAGCTGGTAAACAGTAGTGGAAGTGGAATTACTTTTAAGCATTAGTTTATATGCTACTTCTTTTTCATTCAATTTAATAAAAAATGTTGAGTCATTTTTAGGTGAGGTATAGATCATTTTTTTTAATATTATTGAAGCTTACCTTTTCATTTCTATGTTTTTTTCCTCTTGAAAATGGTTTTTTTCTTTGCCATCTTATCTTCATTCTTTTGTGCTTCTTGATTTAAATCATGGGGATGCATGAACTGATAGATGCTCAATTTTTTTTTTCTTTTTTTGATTGGTAACTGTTAATCTTTATTATTCAGATAAAGTAATGTAGTATGTTCAATATGCCAAGCATCCCAATAAAATAGGCTGGCCAAGCCCCCTATCCCATTTCTTGTTTAACTCTCTCAAAGTCTCAAAGTACAATTGTGCCCAATACGATTGTACCCTTTTTAACCCCTAGTTTGGCCAATGCATCGTACAACCCGTTTGCCAATCTTTCGAGCCAATGAAATGTTGAATCCAACTCACTTACCGGCTGCCTAATTTCTTTCATGGTATGTGTATTTCCAAAGTCCAATCAGAATCCAACTCACTTACTGGCTCCCTTTTCATTAGCACTTTGTCTCTCTTCCTTCATAGGCAAAGTACAGAAATACACTTTTGTGGTTTAATATTAAAAAAAGAAAGGGGTGCAATAATGGTTTCTGATCCTCTTTTCTTCCTGACCAAGAATTCTTCAAAGTTCTTCCCTTTTGTTTTCCATGTTAAGTGGATATATTTTCTGATCTTTCACATTGACCGATGTTATTTATGACCTCTCGACAGAGTGCAGTTCATCCTTTGGAAGAAGTAAGGATGAAGGCAATACGTCTGGTAATTTGATATGCAAATTTCTCTGTAACATTGGAGTAAAAACTTGTCATATTTCTTGGTTTTACCGTTTTTGGGTATTGTTGGTTTTTACAGGTAGCTAACAAACTTTATCCTATATCATCAATTGCTCAACAAATAGAAGACTTTGCTAAGGAAATGCTGCGCTCAGTAACAAATGGTGTTAATGTTTTGGAAGGAACAGATGCAGAAGGATTGCCTAGTGAAGTGCAAAAGGTCCTGTCTTTTTTCTTGAAAGAAGCAAATGCAATTACTTTTTGGTTTTCAGTGGTGATGTGGCTGCACAAGATCATCTCTACATTAAAAAATATGTTGTGTAATAACCGATCCCAACTGAAGACAATTTTAGAATCAGAACTTCTAAACTATGTATGGATAGATCACCAAAAGAGTGCTAAATATCCTTTGAACAAATGGCATCTATCAAATGCTTGTTGTTAAAGATATACTGATTTAGCTCCTTCCAGTGCAACCTGTCTAACATATTTCAGAAACAAATAAATTGGATAAGATAATCCACCTACTTGTGAAGCCCTGTTTGGCCATTCCTAAATGTCTTCAGTTAAATTTGAGAGGCATACTCAAGACATGCCAAATTTCCACGAAGAGTGGTACCATACTATTTTGTGCCATCCTTTGTTCTGTCTCTTCCTCCCAAGGAGTGTATTGTTCTCCTTTTCTGTACCAAAATAATTAAGAGAAGAGAAAGGTCACCCACTTCAGATGACAAAACTATGTTATCGGGTACATACATACATGTGCACTCATGCACGCTTGTATATTATATTTTGGTGGTTATCTATAATTAAATTAATGGAATTACTTGATTAAAAGATACTGCTGTCTCCTTCCTAGTCCCAATAGAATAAAGACCATTGCTACCTCAGACTAAAGAAAATTTACTTAACAATTTGAATAAAGAAAATTACTCCTAATTGATTTTGGAAGCTCAACATCATAATTTAGGGAAGTTGTTGCCGTCTCTTTTGACATCTCAAAAATGTTTTCTCTAGCCACCTTTTGTATTTTGTTGGCTTTGATAACATACACTATTGTGGATATGCTCTTTCCCACCCATATCAAGATTGGACCCAACTAATTTTGTGGAATATATTTGTTCTCCTGGTAAATGCCATGAGGAATATTTGGAGCATCTTCTTTTACATTGTGACTTTTCTCAAGGTGTTTGGTATATTGTTTGAAGCTGTTCAGTAGGTAAGGAGCCTTTGCCCCGGAAGCCTATTGATGGCTTTCTCCTCCTGGTCAGCCTCAGGCTTAAGCAGAAAAGGAAAATTCTTATGGGAGCTTGCTCCCCTGGCCCTGTGCTGGCTTTTATGGAAAGGCAACAACAGGATCTTTGAGAACAAAGCGTCTACCCAAGAAGCTCTTTCTTGTCGTATGGGATTATCAATTTTTATGCCATTGATGCAGGACCATATTTGATAATGGTTTTCAGGGTGGTTTAACCTCTAAAGTGTGGCAAGTGCCTCGGTGCTCTTATTGTTTTGTTGATTCTGTCATGTACAGCTCAGTTTTTCTTGTACATGTTTTGTCTCTCGAGCGGTGTTTTCTTTCCCTCTTTAACTATAAAAAATAATTGTGGAATATGGCTCAGAGAATATTCATAAAAAAATATAGCTCAGAGAATTCTAACTTTTAATTCCATAAACGGTTCATGATTCGTATTATGTTTGCTGCCAACCTGACAGTCTGACACAACCCTCCTTTATCTGGGCTTGGGACCAGCAGTGTAAGACAAGCAACCACCAGCAGAATTCTGACTTCAATTGAAATTAGAAAATTGAATTTTACATAATAATTAACTATTTTTATCTTAGCTCCAGGCTGATCAAGAATTGCTTCCTCTGATACATAATGCTCTTTATTGGCCCTAGAGAATTTGGTATTTTTTCTTATTATTTTTGTTTCTTTTCTTTTAAATTGCAGGATGCTGATTTGGAGAAACCTGTGAATGAGCAGCCTTCAGTCAGTGCCACTACTAAAGAAATTTCCTCCGATACTCATCAATCAAGCACAACTGAAAGTATTCCATCCTCAATATCTGAGGCACAACGATGCATGTCCTTGTATTTTGCCCTTTGTACAAAGGTATTATTCTATTGTTCTTAGTCCCTTTTCAAAACTTGAAAAAAAAAATTATTTCTTTTTGTGATGCTTAATGCTTAGATCACATTTATCTATTTGGGTGCACTGTATTCTGTTAATCTATATTCTTTTACTGTGTTTTGCAGAAGCATTCACTTTTTCGGCAAATTTTTGTAATATATAAAAGCACACCAAAGGCAGTAAAGCAGGTTTGGTTTAAAGTACCAATTGTAGCTTACTGATATCTTATTGAGAGACTACCACTACCTGTAACTATTATTTTGTTTGATTGGTGGCTGACAATATTTCTTTCATATAATAAATATAAAGCGTGTACAAAAAAGGGAGGGTGATAATGCCTCCTTACAAGGTTGCTTTACAATGCTTAGGAAAGAAAACAACAATCAGAATACAAAAGACTTCAATGTCTCACTATATTTTTGCATTTGGAGTCCAAATCAGATCTGCTAATCTCCTTGTAATCTGTGTGGGCCACTGCCTAGTCCATCATAAAGGAATTTATACCCTTATCCTTTGCAAAGGATGGGATTCTCCTTGAAAGACTGTCACTAGACTATAACTGTTTCTATCCTTTTGGTACAAGTCCATGTTTCTAAAATCATTAATTTAGTGCAGGCAGTTCATCGGCATATTCCAATACTAGTTCGTACTATAGGTTCTTCACCTGAGCTTCTTGGCATCATTTCAGATCCACCAGCTGGATGTGAGAGCCTCTTAATGCAGGTACTTTAATATATGTATTAACTATGCTTTCTATGACTCTTCATGATAATTGTAAAGSTGTAATATTATCCATTTATTCTTCTCTTGAAACAGGTTATACGTACTCTAACGGATGGTGCAATTCCTTCACCAGAACTTATACTTACTATAAGAAGATTGTATGAATCAAAACTGAAGGTGGAAGTTGCTACTTTCTCAATTTGAAATAAGTATATATTGTCTCCCTTTTGTCATATATGAATGGTTTTATGTGGACTACAGGATGCGGAAATTCTCATTCCAGTGTTGTCATTTCTGTCAAAGGATGAGGTATCTTCTATCTGTTTCTTATATTCCTTAACTTCGGATACTATCTTCTCTTCTCTCAATAGGCATCATCTTTATATGTAGTGTGTTTTTTGCTTATCTTTGGACATGTGATGCATGTATACTTTAATTTTAATAACATTGTTCTATTCCTATATAGGAGTATCTGCTGCATATACTTGTTTTTTGATTGCATAGTGGTATCTATTTCTTGAGTTATTTGCAGTAAAGAGATAATATTTTCCTTGAACTATGTGGTTTTAGCTTGTAAGCCTTTCTAGAAGTATGCAATTCATATCTTCACTGCTTGTGACACATTCCACATTGCTAAATCATCATTTCCAATGTGATCCTCGGTCAAGATCTTTAATAAATGATTCATTTCCATTGGCACATTAAAATATGGATCTGGTGGCTTCAAATACCCCTATCCCTGAGCAGGTGGGCAGGGTGTAGTCAACCCATTTGCAATTTGTTGGTTTCTGGTACCTATCCCTTACTGTAGAGTCTTGCTTTACCAAAAAGGAACAGTTTTTGACTAAGCAGTTAACTGCCAATGTTAGAATATCTCCATACAAGGAAGTTGTACATAAATGATGTATTTAGCTCTCAAATGTTGCTAGTGCATAGGGTGGTTCTTCCACTTGAGACCAAGCACCTTCAGGAGTAGAGGGATTTTTGGATCAAATCAAAATGCTTCAAGCACYCAACAATTCCAGCATGTGAAGCTTTCAATCTGTTTATTTATCTCCTAGTTGCATTACTTCAAGTAGCTAGTGTGATGTTAAACATGTTGCATTCCTAATCTTAGGGGACTGGCCCCTCCACCTCCGTAATGGTCCCTTGAGGCAATTTATCTTAGGATAAGGGATCAGATATTAATTGCATTCTCATTGCTTCTTTAGAGGAAATTTTGATATTTGAGATCCTGTCGGATTTTCAGATCGGATCAGATTGGATATTAGGATTTGATTGAAAATCAGATCACCCCTATCTGATCCGACCTATATATATTATTTATAAATATGTTTATATTGCATTTTTTGTAATTTTATTATAAAAGAAGACATGTATATGTTAATATATATGATGAACTGTTATGTTTTTTTTCCTTTTAATAATTTATTAAAATTTTCAGAATTTAAATCAGATCGGATCAGATACGGATATCCGGCATTCTTAACGTGTTTGGATTCGAATCACCATTTGTGAGATCTGATCAGACCTAGGATATGTGCTTTCCCCTATGGGAGATTCCTATGTGGCTATTTGAATAATCTGTCTAGATGATTGAAAGATTAATATATTCTTTGGATGATAGCTTGTTTAATAAGATGTAAGATTGTGGAAGGTGAGAGCTTTGGTGAGAGTCATTTCTTCCTGGGTAATTGCTGATTATCTATTGTTTTCTGTATCAGTTGTTTCATTTCTTCTTCTTAAATTGCTACTTACTCTTTTAAACTGTGAACTAGAAATGCTGAGGCAAGAAATATAATTTATGAAGAAATAAAACCAACCCAAACTAATTTATTCGAGCAAGAGATGGGAGAGAGAATTTTATTGGGGCAGAAGGTGAAGCTAATATTGAGAAGCCTAGCCATACGACCGGAGTAACTAGATGATTTATTTTATTAATAGTAACATACTTCCCCCTGAAGACAAGGAAATTAAGCTAAGAAACACATTATTTTATTGTTGATGGGGAATAGGGGTCCTATGAAAGCCAATAGTTATTCTTCTTTGAATATGCTCTTGCTTCTTAGTTTATACTTGCCTATGTTTTTTTTTTCTTTTTTTCCCTGAAGCATAAAGTGTATTTACACATGGTATGAAAAGCAAGAATATAGTGATKATGTCTTTCAGAAATATAAATTTATTATCCAGTGATACAACCCATATATGTATGATCATTATATTATTGCTTCCATTTTTTTCCACAATTATTTCAATCTATCTATTTCTTCCTTTTGTATATGATTGCCTTTTTTGTTTTGTTAGGTTCAATCAATATTCCCCCAACTTGTGAATCTTCCACTGGATAAATTTCAAGCAGCACTTGCTCGTATTCTCCAGGTAGTTTCCCTTGGTAAAACCTTCCTACTAATTATATCATTATATTGTTTCCTTGAAACATCTTTTTTCTGAGTACTCTTCCATCTATTAAGGCTGCCTTATTTTGCTCTCTTTAGAGTTGGACCCAAGATGTGATTTTGATGCTCTTGAATGCCATTTGGCAATGGCATTTTAGAAGGCTAGTAGCTTTCAACAGTATTTTTATGATGCCTTAGGCATGGCTTGGGGCAATTCTGCACAAGGCTCAAAGAAAACACTTCTACGGTCCAACCTTGAGGCCCGTGCCTAAGTTATGAGGTGCATACCTCTCTCCTTGAGGTGTCATTTTTCATGGATGTGTTCTTCATAGTAAATTGAAATAGATTTGTTATACTCTGGCCCTATCGATTATGGAAACTACTCGAGAAAAGTTGTTTTCAATCCTTTGCTGTTTTGTTATTTGTTTAGTTATACCAGAATGTAGGTGGGGGGAGAGTTACAGGTTGAGGGGTGGTGGGTGGGGCATTGATATCTCAGTTATGTTTTGAGAGAGGATAGGTCTTTTGTGTTCAGTAGGAACCCTTTTCTTTTTTTTTCCTCTCATTTATTTATTTTTTTATAGATGGGATTTCTTTGCTTAATAAAAAAAGTACATGAAGATATAGATAGCTAGGAGAGTTCAACAAGAAATTGCCAATCTGAGCCCTTCCCCCAACTACCAGATTCTTCTAAAGGGTTAGCAGACCATTGGATCCAGCTCAGCAAGGTAGGTGTTCATATGGCATGCCAAAGTTCTAGGTTCCCTTATCGACTGTGAGTAAAATCATTTGACTCTATTCATCACCCTTCATTCATCCCGTTACAGTTTGACAATCTTCCTCAATTTCCAATCTCTTGTAGCCCAATTAATAGCCAATATCAGTCCTTGTACCAAGGATACAATTCAGCAGGACTTCCATATGCCAATAGGACTTGTATATATTACCTTGTTAGTTTGGGCTGATTTTAAGTTATTGGGCCCAGCTTTGTTTTATTTTTATTTAAGTTATTCAGTTAGGAAGTTATTGGGCCTTGGGCCCATTAGTTTATGCTATTTTAAGTTGTGACTGTTCAGCTACTTAAAGTAGCCGCCCTACTAAGGGCATCTTTGTAATCTTTCATTCTTTTATTTTAAGTATATAAATCAAGAGGGGTTGGCGGCCAGACCTAATTCAATTCTGGTGACATCCCACTCTCTTTTCTTCTTCTTCTCTCTCTCTCTTGCTGAAACCTTTCAGCTTCTACTACTTTTCTTCACAAAGTACACATCGGAATCAAGTATCAGCAATTTCTACTTGGTATCAGAGCAGGCTGAAGGTGAGCTGCTCTATCATGCAGTCCTAGATTGGCCGACTGCATGGTGATATGAGAGGCTGATCGAAGACCTCAGGTAAGCCCAATTTTTGGATTTTTTGGTGGATCTGTTTTGCCCTATAGCTGGTCTAGGGTTTCCCATCAAATTCAGGAAGAACTCGAGAAAGGGGGAGTCTTGTTTTTGTAGGACTCTTCATTTTTGACCTAGGAAGTGGCACCCTAATTTTTTAGGGTTTCTTGGAGTTTTTTGAAGGGGGTGGTTCAAGTCCCACCTATTTTTAGGGTTCCTTGGAGTTTTCTACCGGCGGCGATCTTGGCGGCAACGATCTTGTTTGGGAGACTGAGGGAGGAGCAAAGGAAGCTTGGTATTCCATTGTCTACTCTACCAGTGGTGATATTGTTTGGCTGAGTGAAAATGAGAGGCCAAATATTACAATAAACCCTAAATCCTTTCTTTTTTTGTTTTTCTCAAATTGCCCTCAACCCTCAACCAACCCAATGGGTAACCCTCGACCCAACCCCATCCTGATCCTTTTCCCCTGATCCCAATGGGTCATTCGATCCATATCGACCCACCACTAGAATGGATGGGTATGGGTGGGTTCTAAGGTGGGTGGGTCAAATGGGCTGGGGTCACGATTGCCAGCCCTAATGGGCTTTCCTTATTTTGTTTGATGAGGAAAGGTTTTATATATCTTTTACCAGTAACAAGGAACTTTAATAGAGAAAAGGTAAAAGGGATAATATAAGTACCTAATCCTGACAAATAGTGAATGGGACCTTAAAGCCTCAAGGAGGCAACTGAAATCAAAGGCACCGAGGCAACCACAAAGGCGAAAAAGCTACCTAGAGGAACATTCCCACAATATTATTCCTTATCTTATACTCTTAAGTCAATTAGGTGTCGAGTTAGATGGCAATATGGTGATAAAAAAAAATCCAGGGGCTATTAGAATCATCTTGCAAGCATGAAATGATGATTAGTGATTGGATTGCCATCTGATCCAACTCAACTTGCTCAATATCTGTGGACAATTAGCCCAAGGTCAGAGTAATGCCAACATCTCTGTTCTAATTGAGTYCCTAAAACAAATTGTACTGGGATGATCATACTCCTGTTGTCTCTACATGCTCAGCCAACTCTTGATGGCTCCAGGAAATGTTTAGCTCATTGGCTCCTTAATAGAGAACTACCAGTACTGCAACGACAGTTGCTTGCATAACTATCCACTGACTAAATTCTGCTACTTTTAAACCATAAAACCCACCAATATATCTTTCTGACTTGTTTTAATTGTGTTTGAAAAGCTGTATGTAATCTCCTAGAAGGGGTTGCACCTCGTGCCTTGTAACTCTAACAGTTTCTGATTAATAAAATCTTTCAACCATTTATCCAAAAAAAAACTGAACAAGTGATTTTGAGGTTTTGTTTTATTATATTAAGAGTTTGTCTGATTTGTAGTGAAGAGTTTATAGGACATATATGAAGTTTTTTTCTTATATCTTTTCAGACTGGTTTGCTGGAATTGATTTCTGTGCCTCCTATGGTATTTATAATTAAGCCATTAAGGTGCTTTCTATATCTTTGTAAGTTTAGTTCTCGTTAAACCCTTTATATAATTTATTAAAATAATAGTGGCTTAATATTTTTCTACTTCTCATTTTAGTTCATGTTTCGCTAGAAAGATGTGGTATGCTTTTATGATAGACAGTTTACTTAGGCAATGGGGGTTGAGATATGGTGCTACTCTGGCACTCTAGCTCCCTCTAAGAGGAGTGAGTCTAATGAGTTGAGCTCATCCTTCTTCAGGGAAAATGACTTGTCCATGTCTCTTCTATTGGGTCTTGGTGAATGAAAATCCCATTAAAGATTGAATCCAGATACTCTGCTGAAGATCAGTAACTATCCATCCATTCATCATTATCTATTCTACCCATTTCTTCATTTCATTTCATCTAGTTTTGCAGAAGTAGTGATTTCCTCCACATTAATATTTCGCTTCCATTAAGTATTGACTACTGTTATTCATGTGCATAAAAAACCAGTACCTATATAACGAGTGACTTGATGCAAATTGAGGATATGTATGAGGGTGCAAAAAACTAATGTTAGAACACCAATGGGTCTTCACCAAGGTGTGGCACCTAGTCCTTGTTTATTTGCACTAGTCATAGATGAATTGACTAAACCTATGAATTGATGAAACTAGCAAAGGATTAAATGCAAAATTAGGTTTATGGACAACTGAGATAGAAACAAGAGGTTTCAAAATGAGGACTAAAACAAAATATATATAATGCAAGTTTGATAATAATGGGAGTGGAATTCAAGGTATGCTTAGGATTGGAGACCAAGGGATAACTCATTGTGACCTTTTTCGTTATACCTTGATTCAATAATTCATAATGAAGGAGAGATTGAGGATGATGTCACACATAGATTGAGGGGTGCAGTCAGAATCATATGTGATAGGTGAATACCACTTGGGCTAAAAGGAAAATTCTATAAAACATTGTTAAGGCCAGCTATGTTGTATGGAGCAGAGTGTTGAACAGCTAAGAAAAAGCATGCCCAAAAAATGATGTGGCAGAAACATGAATGCTTAGATGGATGGGCAGTAAAACTAGAAGGGACATGCTTAGAAATGAAGCCATCTGAGGGATCCTAGGAGTAGCTCCAATAGGTTATAAAATGTAAGAAAGTGAATTGAAATGGTTTGGTCATGTACATAGAAGACCATCTCCAGCACCTGATAAAGGAAACGATCTGTTACAAGTTGAAGGGGATAGGAGAGCTAGGGGCAGACCAGACAGAATTTAATGATTTAAGCACCCATAATTTAATGATGAATATGGCACTGAACAGAATGGAATGGCAAAACAGAATTCATGTAGCCAACCCCATATAGTTAGGACAAGGATTAGATAATGATGGTGATGAAGTATATTTTAAATTTGATTTGTAAGGTGGTTTTCTCAGGTTGATTAAATATATTGACAATAATATCTTTTTGCCTTGCTTATGACCCAATATTGCATTCAATTCCTGGGCAGTTCCATTCCTGATGAGCATATCTTATTTACTTATCTATTTTTATGGAAACATTATCACGCAGGGATCACCTCATTCTGGTCCAGCCCTTTCTCCTGCTGAAGTGTTAATTGCAATCCATGGGATTGATCCTGAGAGAGATGGAATAATCCTGAAGAAGGCATGTCCATTTTGCTTTTGTTATACTGTCCTCTTTAGGTTTGATGACTAAATAATTTCCATTTTTAAACAGGTAACAGATGCATGCAATGCTTGTTTTGAACAACGGCAAGTATTTACCCAACAAGTTCTTGCAAAGGTTTTGAATCAGTTGGTATGTACCTTTGGAAACTTAATGAGGCCCCCTTTAGAATTTTTATTTTTGCCTGATTTTATTTGTCACTGATTCTGAATCTCAATTCCAGGTTGAGCAGATTCCTCTCCCCTTGCTGTTCATGCGTACTGTCTTACAGACAATTGGTGCATTTCCAGCTCTGGTGAGAAATAATAAGGCTCATTTGCTTCATACAACTTAAGCTATGCCAACAATCAGTAGTTTGCTGAATATAGGCCTTTATAAAAAGCATAGTTGCTGATGTATATTGTCTATTGATACTTGATAGTTACATTTTCATATATCAATTACTGGACCAAGAAACAGGACCATTCTGAATCTTCTATATATATGAAAAGATAGTGCTTTTCTAAGTCTTAGCTATCAAAGTAGATTTTCTGCAGTCTTGACGACTCAAAGCTAAGTTTCTTGAATTTGTTGTGGGCTTTAAAAGACCTGTCATGTAGCAAGCAAAGGCATCATTTAATTACCTGCCTGGTATACCATATGGAAACTATCAGAGGTCCAATACAACAGGTTTTCTTTCTGATTATTTTTGTTCCCCTTCCTTTTCCTGGTGATGACTGTGATTCTTCATCTGGCCTTAAACTGTCCGAAATCCTGATGGCCCCATGACTAGGTCATTGTGCTTAGTTTGGGCTGTTATGCTTAGTTTCAGCCGTCATAGGCCTGAACTCAGCTCATGTCTTTGTTCTTTTCTTTACTTCCCTTTTTCACTTTCTAAAAGACAGCTTGGATAAATCACTTTTTTTTTTTTGGGGGGGGGGTGTAATTATCCCGTTTACAGTCTGGTTTGAATTCTAGTTAGATTCAAATTCAAATCATTGCATCCCCTACTTCCTTGTGAGTTGCTTTTTGCAATCATGGTTCACTATGTCCCCAATGTTTCCCTTTCTCAAATACAAAATCAATAGGGAACCCCAAAAATCTTGATATTGCAGTACTTGTTAGGACATATCCACAAATTTCCCCATATCCCTAAACTTTCACAATTGTTGGTTATCTCGAGGAAATGAATATTGTTGGTATGTTTGAAACTTTAACGTATCACCAGTATTTTGGTTGAGGCCTTGTGCAATTCATAAATTTTAGACATATATGGGAAATATACTGAAATGGGAAATATACCAGTCAAATCAGCAAAACTTTGGGGGAAATTACCATTTTGTATTGGTCTTTTGGGAAAATAGCATCCACTTTGGATTTCGACAATGCTCACAATATTGTTACATGTTCATATTTTTCAAACATTATTCATTTCATTATAGGAGTTCACAAAACCCTTGTACTAAAATAAAAATGTAGAACTTCGTCAAATGGATTTAGATATTAACTATAGATGGGAACATTTTGTTGAATATAGGTTTTTTTTACCCCTGCCCCCTAAAAAAATTACTCCCAGTGGAAGGGAAGTCATTATTTAATTTATTAATTTCAAAATTTAAATATAGAAATAGAAGAAGGGGATGTAGAAGCAATATTTCTCTGGGAAACCTATACAAGAAGAACAATGTTTTATAAGAAAATATAATATGAATCCAACTGATGATCTCAGAAAAGATACAAAAAGAAAATACACATTTAAGTGCACTTCAGCTGCCTTGTCGGTAGATAATAGGTTTCCTCTTGAGAATTACTCTGAATGCCACAAGACATTTAAAACATGTTATGTTGGGTTTCTTCCTCCTTTAATAGATGAATCTGAGACTCGAATCCAGGTTCCCATTATCCTCTTCTATGGCTGAAGGTGCAGGAAAGGACTTGTGTAGGTAAACCTTTTCAGTTCTGTTCCATCTTTATTAAATCTGTTACATAAATGTAGAATAGGATGTTCACTTGTTCCTCTTCTTTGATGTCCTCCTTCAGTCAACAAACCCTGCAAGGAACTTTCCTTCAAAGGAGGTTTGGTGTCAGCTTGTACCTCAAAAAATTTGGGCTTTTTGCTGGGGGTGGTTTCCCGAAAAATCTATACTCTAGATCTGTTGTAAAGAAAAATGCCAAATTTTTGCATGTCACCCCATGTTTGTAGCCTTTGCTTGGGTTCTGGTGAGATGATCACACACCTATTAATTTCTTGTCCATTTGTGTGCTTTATTTGGACCTGGTTCTCTTCTATCTTTGGTYGCAGGTGGACACCTCCCCCAGACATGGTTAACCTTTTTGACCCTAGATTTTTTAGGCAACCGAAGAGGCGTGGAAGATTAATGTGGAAAGCCACAAGAGCAATTATCCTATGGTCAGTCTGGGAAGAAAGAAACAATAGGTTCTTTAAAGGAGTGGAGAAATCCAAGGAGGAAATTGTAGAAAGTATAACCATTATGACTATTCAATGATTGAAAACTTTGGATTTGTTTAAAGACTTCTCAGCCGAGGACATATACAGGCATTGGGGGGTGGTGGCATCTACAACTTCCATAAAACCTACAGTGCAGGAATAGTGGTCCCCACCAACACAACAAAGAATGAAACTGAACTTTGATGGGAGCTCTAGAGGTAACCTGGGGCCTTCAGATATAGGGGGAATATCAGAGATGAAAATGGCAGAATTGTGGCTATGTTTTCGGGGGCAATAGAAATGGGGGACTCATTGAGAGGAGGTGATGGCCTTGCTTCAAGGAAGATATGCCAAATAATTGGGGTTGCACCAAATTGAGATAAAGGGAACTCTAAATTGTTAATTGATTGGCTGCAATCAGGTAAGTTGGGAGCTTGGATTTATAGACATTCCATAAGGAAAATCCTCAATATAACAAGGGAGATTGGTGCTTGCTTCAAATAGACAAGGAGATCAGCTAATGGTTTAGCTGATATGTTGGCTAAACAAGGGACTGTGAGGGAGAGTATGTTTTGGGCAGTTTTGTAATAAAGATTACTTTGGACTTGACATCTGTTTAGGGGTTGACAGTTGTACTTAATTTTGTATTAATGAAGTTACCGTTTCCAATAAAAAAATGTAGAATAGGATGAGCTTGGAGCTAGTTATATGTGGAGTATCTCTAGTTGATCTATGCATTGATTAGAATTCTGGATTTTTTTTTGAAAAACAATTTTCTAAAAATAAAATTGAACTATTTGATAATGCTAACTGATAAATTATCTATAATTGGCCAGGAATGTGCTCTCACATTTATGCCTATCATTAGAACTAATCTCAGGACTGGGGACTAGGGGTAGCAATAGGTGGTCCAGCCTGGCTGGTCCGCCTAGAGTTAGGTTTCACAATTCACAAATGTTACCTAGGTCAAATCATTTGTATTGCCAATTAATGAAAACTAGATTAAACGCATAAAATATTGTCATTTACTTAGGCACCCCATATAGTTTAATGTATTTGCTAAAACCTACCCTCTAATTTGCGTATTACTAAAGCACCCCCTAACTTTGTAGCCATTTTATTTAATTGAACTTTTGACAAGAACCATTTATACTTTTGTCTTGGAATGGTCAAATGAAATCTTAGAACAAGTGGAAAATGTGAAAGGGCATAGATTCTAAGTTTTTATTCAAAAAATACCCCTAGTAGCTCTCATATCAACCTTTTAGAACAAAACATTCCCCCCACATTATAACTTGGTCTGGAGGTGTGGAGTGTGCATGAAATGAGAATTGCTAGGGGTATTTTTGGAATGTGCCCTTTCACATTTTCTACTTGTTTTAAGAGGTCAAAGGACCATTCCCAAATGGAAATGCAAATGGTTCTTGACAGAAGGTTGAGTAAGTAAAACAATTGCAAACTATGGGGGTATTTCAGTAATATGCAAACTAGAGGGTAGGTTTTGGTAAATACATGGAACTATAGGTGTCTAAGTAAATGACCCTATAAAATAATTATATATAGATAGCATATAATTTTGTAATAAGCAAATAAAYATAATTACATAATCATTTCTGTCCCAAACAGTAAGACTGGTGTTCAATGGCCATCTGTATGTATGTTGGATTCTTCCTGGCATTTCTCTTTTCTTTTACTACTTGCATTGGGTTTCCTTGCTATACTCATATATTTTGTTCTTTCTTTTTAATCGGCAAATTATTTTGTCATCCATTATAAAAGTAGGTGAAAATAATTTCTCCATTTCTTTAGGTGATGTTCCCACCAATACTGAATTTCTTTAGCATGGTTGCAATCATCTTCCATATTGACCATTATAACAATTTTAGCATGGGCTGCATCTTTCAAATTTGTACTTCTGGCTACTTTATTTATTATTCATTTTTTTTTCTTTGGGGGGGGGGTGAAGTTAGGGAAAAGAAACATGCCAGTGCATTTTCCTATTCTTGCTAACTTAAACTTACTGTTTGCTGTAAATGTTGTAGGTAGACTTTATAATGGAGATACTCTCTCGCCTTGTAAACAAGCAGGTGATTGAGTTTAAAGTTTCTACTGTCAACTTCATAATCAGTTTATTATGTGACTATTAATTAAATAATTGCTGCAGATATGGAAATACCCAAAGCTATGGGTAGGATTCTTGAAGTGCGCTCACCTGACACAGCCTCAATCATTCACTGTGTTGCTTCAGGTAAAGGCTACCTGTTATGCTGCATCTTGAATTTAAACTTTAGTTGTTTATGTGAGCCTTTCAAATTTTAATTCACAGTTGGCACCAAAAGCTGAAGACTCTACAAGCACCTTGAATGTTTCATAAACTTTCATGTTAGCCTTTAGAATTCTATGAAGGTGTCCTAGCAACTTGTAGTTTGATGCCATATAATTGCAAGGTATCCTTTTAGATATGAAAGGAAAATGTATATTATGTTATTATGTTGCAGACATGGTTTTCCTGATGTAACCTGATTCACTGTTTGTTTGTTCCTGCAAGATTTTGCATAACCTTGTTTTCGGGCAGTTATCAGAACTCTTTTTTTACGTTTTTTCTCTCTTACTGTTAGGATAGTCATTGTACTGGTCAGATTTTGTAAGGAGGTAGCCTCATTTACAAAAAATTATGCCATCAAGTTTCATGATTCATGTGCCAAGATATACAAGTCATATATTATGTAGTGGGTCAAAGATAATAATGATATTGTAATTTTTATAGTAAGTAAAAAAAAATCATTCCCCTAAACTGTGGCAAAATGGAGGCCAGAAAAAGAAGCTTCTCGATTTATTGGAAAGACCATAAGCTCTCAGTTTCTCTTTCAAAAATCTGCAAGTTCTGTTTCAAATACACCTGCTAATGGAAAAACAAAAAGTAGGTTCAATAAATCCATCCTCTTCTCTTATACCTATTCAAGCTTGATATCTGCTACCACCATGAGTTGGAGGTTAATCTGATGATGTTAGGTTGGTACTTCACTGGTTTTGCTCAAGTTCTGTAGACACAGGGATTTCATCCAAGGTGAGGTCATGTCATTCACCTTTGCTGTGGTAAGGCTGTTTCAGTTTATAATGGGACTCCTAAGTGGTGATGTGATAGGGCGGTTTAGAGACGGATATATGCTATTGTATCCTATATCTTTAGAGAATTTAGAATCTTGGCTTCAATTTTAACATCTCATTCAAATCGGTACCAGAATTGGCTAATCACCCAGTAAACTCGTTATCTAGGGACAGGTTTAGATGCGGAGAAACCGTATTAGAGCCAGCCCTTCCGGTTTTGGCCACAATGCTGAGATGGTTCTTTGTACAAGTCTTAGAGCTATCCTTTTTCTGGGAGGAGTTGCTTTTACACAYTTTTTATCAGGTATATAGAAGCTTCATTGTGTTTTTATTGATTAAACAAATTGAAGATAGGCTTGCTCTGAATCGTCCAATTCTGTTCAGAAATCCTAATGAAATGCTGCCAAACCCTAAAAGAATGATCAAATTTAGTGACAGATGCAAAATTGATTCACCACATCTGGCTCAAAGGATGTGGAAATCTAAAACATCTCTCCCTGAAAATTATATGATTGATAATTAAGAAATTTGGCTCCATAATCAACATGTCCTCRAGAACAAGAACTCACTACCTGATATGCAATGCCTCGTAATCCTCTGGAATGAACACCCTCAAGCAGCAGCGTCATGGTATATGAAAACAGGGAATCTGCTATACAGGTTGGCTACCACAACCAGTTTCTTCCTAGAATCTCAGTTCATCTCCCATACCAATGCAACAAGAAATATGTTTACTGAAGTCCACAGAAAATGCTTCAGGATGGCATATGCAAACTTGAGCCACTCCAATGGAACTTTTTCATCTTGTTCTGGCCATCAATTCAGTTATGAGTGTTTACCAAAACAACATCAGTCATGAGTAACCAAAGATGAAATGGAGAAAAGTGACAAATAGTGTACAATCTTATACAATTTCTATCTGTCACCTATCAGGCCACAATATGCCATTTCTATGAAATTTTCTAAAATTTCAAAATAAATACCTTTTGAAGGAATCCTAGCAGTTATAAAATTTTAGTTGATCAAAGTGTTTGTTTTAGAAAATCATGTGAAGTCGAGGATTTTATGTTATAAATTTGTTGAACCCTAGGTTAAAATAAACAAGAAAAATAAAAAGAGAAAGAGTTGCTAATTTTTAGTCAAATGGAATGAGTCGTAACTGAAATCTCCAGCAGTATCAAATTGAGCATTATCACCATTTACCAGAAGAATGTTCAAGAGTTCCATAAGGGGAGGGTCGATCCTGCATAACAGCCTATCTGTGCATTCTAGAACTGCAAATACTGGTAACCCTTTGACAACAGAATCCATCAATATCCCCTGGAGTCATATTCCAGGTGTCCTGTTACATATTCTTAATTATAAAATGTTGATAATCTTTTCTTATAAATTACCAAAATTATCAGCTATTATACACGAATGAGAAATGTTTTTTTAGCAAGTAGTGTTAAACTTTTTTGTTCTCATCAGCCATGTAATGTTAAACTATTAAGAGTGTAGGAATGTCCTATAGGGACATTTCTGTCATTTTAGAAATCTATAAATATCACCAAACTGGTAGAAGTTCTATCATTGCAAGTGGTTTTTCTTTTATTGGTGTTTTATCAATTAGTTATATTTACATGGGAAGGAAAGAACTAAATTGGTAGGAGGGGAAGGCAATAAGCAAATGGGGGAACTCGGAAGAGAATGACAAGCATGCAAGTACGTATATCCCTAGTGTCTTCCTCATTCAAGCTACCAACTTATGCCCCCAGGTGTGACTAATGACTATATTATATATAAATATTTTGAATCTCAATTGTATGACATCAAAGTTACGACTGTTGGGAAGACTTAATTGCAGTGTTTTCAACCCGCCGTTGACCCGGCCGTTCGAATCGTCACCCAGCAATGATTCCAAGTCCGGTTCAGTCAAGACCTGTCAAACAGTCAAAACCGTTGACTTGGTCAAGAACCGTTCGATCCGAACGGTTCAACTGTTGACCTTGTCACCGGGTCACTGGTTGCACACTCAATGTATGTGAACTTTCAAAGGCCATAACTTTGCACTCTGATGTCTGATTGGGGTGATTTTTTTTTTTTGGGTAACTTATCGAGATCCATGCATCCCAAGGCGCCATAGGCGCCTTGCCCCGCTATTTTAGCAAAAAAAAAAAACCTTTATTGGCCTCAAATTGCAATTTTTAAAAAATATAAATTAAATACATATAACATATCTAAAACATATTTATACATTATTTATTGATAAATATATATTTATACACATATATACATATGTATTTAAATATATATACTTGATACATATATATGATGGTGTGGCACGGTCTGAACCGTTCGACCTGGAGGCAAAAACAGTTCGCCCTCCGGGTCGTTTGTAAAACATTGCTTAGTTGTTCCAAATATCTTGTTTACCATTTCTATATTCATGACTCCACGGGATCTGGACTTGATGTAATGCTGTCTTTTACAGTGACAAGTTCTATGACTAATCATTGGTGACTCCTAATTCATAAAGTAAATGCTTTCTCTTATTTTTGTTAATTCCAAACTATTTCTTCTCTCTTGAAGTATTATTTCACTTTTGTTTAGACACTGAGTTTATTTTCTCACATCCTATTTGTATGAATGTTTAGAAAGGTATTTATCTTCGTAAGAAAGTTATTTATATTAGAAATAACTTGTAGAGATAAGACACTAATAATACGAAATTCTATTATAGACTTTTTGTATGAATATATCCAAGAATTACCTAGTTTATCTTCATCACTTACTTTTATAGACATGCTGCTGATTGATCATCCCTAAACCCATAAAGGGAAGAAACTGAAAACTTGAATGGGACCTAGTGCAAGTGGAGTCATATCCATTTCCATTTTTCTTTTTTTGGATAGTTATTAAAATTATGGTCTAGGTTGGCTTTTCTCACATTACTGCACCACTATTCCGTGGAAAATTATTTATGCTAAGAGTGTGACTAGTGACTATTATGATGATTATCATTATTCTTTTCAAAAATTTTCCTACCATTGCAGATGTTTGTTTTAAGGTCTACTCTCTTGCCAATGAGGTAGGAATGCCTGTCATGCTGCAGATACCAGTTAGAAACATTACAATTCCTTTTTTTGACAGTGTTATTCTTATTTTTCAGTTACCAGCAGCGCAGCTTGAAAATGCTCTAAATAGAACCGCAGCACTGAAGCCTCCTTTAATTGCTCATGCTAGCCAGCCGAACATCCGTTCCTCTCTACCCAGGTWAACTTCTTATCTTAGCAGCCTCTAACCCCCAAACACACACACAAGAAGAGAAAAAAGAAAATCGGCATGGGATGCATAAGCGTGTTATCCTGTCGTGTGTTTTACTCACCAGCCTTCAGATCCATGTTGTTTTTCTATTCATCCAAATAGTCCCTGGTAATATCTGAACTTGAATTTATTGCTGCACTAGGTCAACATTGGCAGTCCTGGGAATTGCACCTGATTCACAGACTTCAAATCAATCACAGGCAACTCAAGGTCAGACAGTGGATACAAGCAACTCTGGCACTGAGGTGACAGCAGAAAAAACTAGAGAATCTTCTACTGGCAGTTGAACCTTGGTAATGTAGGAATAGAGTTCTGCTTGCTAGAAAACTGATTTGTTGGTTTTGGCAAAGAGTAACACCTCTCTCTCTCTCTCTCTCTCTCTCAAGATGAACATGTTAGAATTTAGAAATATGGTATCACTGAGCCTACTGAAGAGCCAAGGTTAGGATGGCCAAGATAGCAGGGAGTCGACATAGATCCACTTTGCCAAAACTGGTATATGGAGGAAAAGAAGAAATCGATTGTTGTCGGGTTGAGCTTTGCACTGATTGCCACAGCAGAAAGAGATCCACTTGTAAAGGGAATATCTATCAAAAGAATGTAAAATGTATATTATGATGGCTTCTTCCCTGTAAATGAAATTATTTAATCCGTGCCTCTTTCACTCCTTGTATTTGTAGCAACTAGGAAGTAATTTTTCATGCATGAGAAAAATACAGCCTATTCCATTCAGGTGGCCTTTATCAACTCACTGGGGCGTTTTGATTGGTCAAAGCCGTTCCCGTATCATGTCTTTTTTCCAGCCGGCAGCATAGATTTTTCCTGGAAATAGACATCAATAATGGAATAGGCTAACGGGTTGTACTTTCTAAGATTTATTTTATTATTATTTTTTTTTCTATGCATTCTTTCTCGTACTATAGAGAATACCTTATAACAAACTTGAAAAAAAAAAAAAAAGCACCTCTTGCAAATTTAATGAAGGGTAGACTGAAGTAGCCACCATATATATATTGTTATGATTCATTAGATATTTAGATGTATCATATCAAGCCATTGTTGTAGTGTAGTTTGAGTGCAAATTGGYAATTTGCCATTTCTTTATATAAACTTAAGGTAAAGAATTTCGGACCATTTTGCTGCAGTGAGCGTGGTAACTAAACATAGGGCATCTATGCCCGTCATGTCCAATATTCAGATCCGCAGATTGATAGGATTAAAGCGTTTCGAAACATGATTTTAAAAGCCAGAATTCTTTGCTGCCCAACGAGTGGGAACATTTTACTAAATTACAGAAGTTTTGGTTGACCCGTTCCATTCCATATACGTAATGAACGAACAGTGCAGAAACATACGCAGCAATTTATTGAAAATGAGCCTAATGAGATAATGTTTTGTTTTCCAATGCTATCTTGGTACCTAAAGTTAATATACAACTTTTTAGGCAGAGAATTGCTACCCTGTCTATCCATGCCCCACGAAAAGAAGGCAACTTCCCTGTCAGAACTTTTTATCTACAATGTCCACTCAGAAGTTGGAACTCCATGATTTTGAAAGTTGAAACCTTTCAGACATGTGGAATCTTTCATAGAGTACAGGCCTAGAGAGAGGTGTTTGAGGAGTGGGAGGACTTCCAAGAGCTGAACCATTGTAAATAAAGATCAGAAACTCGGTACCGAAATGATCAAACAGGTCAAGTGAAATGGTTGGAGAATAAATATGCAGTAGATATCATAAGGTTGTCCAGAAGAAAATGAGACACATGTTTAACATTCAATGGTTGCAAAAAGTAACTGAAAGGGTTATTAGCAACAATTACAATTCAAAAAATTTCCTTTGCAAGGCAAGACAGATCCTCGATCTTCCCTGATTTGCACATGGGTAGAAATTTCACCAGAATGAGTTAACATTAGCTATAAGTCGACATCGTGTTGCCCATCAACACTAGACAACTTTCCTCAGCCTAGTGTGACAGCGTGTGTTACAACAGCTGTCAAACGCTAATAGGTGACACAGAATTGGCTGACAGCAATATCCAGACTCTACTGATGTTCTGATCTAGAGCGTCTTTTTACTTGTATCAACTATCAAGCAACTTTCACAGACCAAGATGTATCGACTCAAACATGCATTTACACTGACAGAAAACCTAAATACCTAGTATGTGTTTAATACAAAATTATGGCATTTGCTTGAGGCTTGAACATGCAGTATCAAAACCAGAACAGGAGATGCTTAGAGATTAACAGAACATAAGAATGGAGGTTTGTGCAACATATCACGTGATCATAAAAACTATCCATCACAACTCTCAAGGAAGTTAAAATCAAGCTTTAGGAGCAATATATCAATGCAATGTCTTAGATTAACCAATGACACAAAAATATTGCATGAGCAGCATGTCACCCGGTATTCTACTTATGGATATTACCAATTTCCCATCTATAATTTTCAAATTATAGATTTATATTCGTATCCTATAATAACAATGAATTAATCTTGAAAGTCACCTTACCTAAAGGTTGTTAAAAGCAATATATATATATATATATATATATATATATATATATATATATATAAATCTTCAATAATTATGGATTTATGGCCAGATAAGAGGAGAACTAAGAAAGCAACTATTAAAACAGACCATATCTAATGATACACATTCCAGCTCAAATCACTTCAGCCCTGCTTCTGTTGCTTGATTACGAGCTATAAATTGTCTCATATGGACATACTAGAGTTTCATCCAAGTCAAGGACCACCTGCATAGCACAGTGCATCTGTCAAAATCTCTGTACTCCAAAGGCAATCTTTATGAAAGAAAGAAAGAAAAGACCAAAAGAAAACCCAGCATATGCACTCTTGCAGCCCAAAATYTCTATATGCACTCTTGTGGTTTAAAATTGATCCGGAAGGTTTGAATTTCAATTCTAGTCACTTCATTTACACTCTTGCAGCACAGTTAAGAACCGATTTTAATCTCACCAAATTTCAATTCCTAACTTCTATGGACAAGCAACACTAAATTGGATTATCCTAAATCAATTATTGGTACCAAAGCAAGTTTATGCATCTGAATAACTTTTGTTATAACCAACCAATTGCTAGCTAAGAGTCTGGACTAAATATATGCTTTCAGTTGGAGAGGGATAATTATGTGATTAGTGGTGGCATAAGCAGAAAATCTGAACTTGGGATTGTGGATTAAATTCCCTCATGGTTCAAAGTATTGATATTCTTGATACGCAAAGTTTGCATACTGAGAATTTTGTTTGACTGAAAAAGTTAGTTTTGTTCAACTGGAAAATCTATATGATTTTTTTCTTGGATTCTTAGGTAGGCATATTTATGTGGAATTTTGCTTTAATGGTCCTAGAACTAGGTATACCTTGAAAAAATTACAAATATATGATCTTGAGATATCCATAGTTAATGGAACAATTTTAGAATCTCCTTCTTCAAAAAAAAAAAGAAATCCAGTCCGATAAGATCATACTAGATCTAACAACCATAAAGAAATGTTCATTGCATCCTCACAAGTCACAAGCAGATGAGCTCAATGATATATGTGGACTTGACATTAAAAGGTACCAGATTATTGCATGCAGGTTGGTTTGTAGATATCTTGTGATCATGAAGCCAGAGCCATCATGATCCATTCCAGCATGATTTTTTGTTGGGGCTCTGTAATAACTGAGATTCTATATTTGCTTCAGGGTCTCAGACTGGTCTGTCATAGTGTCATTTAGGCATTCAGTGGGTGGAGATAGAGGGTGATCCCTAGGGGGGATGTAGTAGAGTAGAATTCCAACAATATGTGGACATTAGTCATCACATCAAAGGGGCTACCGGGCTAGGGCCTTGACATCAAGAGCCAACAGCTTTAGGTAAACTCCAAGGTTGGCCAAATCAATGGCCAAAAGCCTTGCTGTAGGATTGCACTGGAAGAAGTTTGTTCTATTGTTCTAATTCTCTCACTGATTAATATATCTATGCACTTCTGATTTTCATTGTCATACTGTATTCTTTTATTTATTTATTTTTTTGGTAAATGGAAAATTTCATTGAAAACAAGAAGAATAAACTACAGAACAGAAATCAAACCAAACAACTGAAAGACAACAGAACAGAAAACACCTAAAATATGAACAAAACCATAGCTACTGCTAACCATGACAGCCCCTTGCCATAGCTTCTGCTAGAATTGGAGATGTAGCATCATTGGTTCCATAATTTGCCCCAACAAAACCACCCGTATGGTATTGAATCAAAACTGCATTACCATTTCCTTTAAAAGCCACCATCCACATTAAACTTTGGTTGATTTGGCCTTTCTCTCGTATTCCTAATCAAGGTGGTCACTTGTGTACTTTTTTTTGTCATCTTCCAAATTAAACATGGCATTACCTCTATTACTTCTAGAAGGCTTGATTGCTTGAAGCTAAACCACACATTTCCGCTCTTTGGAGGTCCGAGATGGATGTATTGATACATGTTTTATGGGCTGTGGGACCAATCATTTTGCTCTGCACCAGGCACCAGCCATAAGGCCCATGCCCACTCACTCTATCACTTGCATTTATTGCTGGGTGCTCACATGGAGGGAAAGCAAAATTGAAGGTCCCTCAGCCCGTAAAACCGCTATCAAGTTAACCTAATCCATTCTCATAAGGGAATTAGCTGAACTTGATAGCTGTTTTATGGGATGTGGGACCAATATTTTGCTTTTGCTCTACGCCAGCCATAAAGTGCAGATGACCCACATGGACATGGATTATGGATATGTTTGGGTAATGGGTATCTCGTCTCCATTGTAACCAGTCTTAGACTTAGAGTATATAGGTGGGGCCTAACTCTCATAATTGATATTTTAATCTATAAATAGCATTTTTTTTTACTATTTATGTGAGAAATTAACTCATATTCTTGAGAATCTTGACATTAGATGATGTATACTTTTCAGCCAATGCTCTCCCTTCTAGCTTTCCATGCTAAAGATAGGATGTAATGGCATAACCGTTGGATTGGAATCTCTATATCTGCAAAATTGTTTGATTGGAATCAGCTACCTCAAAACTCCATGTCATGCTACACTACTTATATTGTTGAAATAATGAAAAACAAATATTCTCATCAAACTTATATCAATCATATCACTGGAGTGGGAGTTTAGGCTTTATGTATATGGATCTTGGGTCGTATATGGATTCATGGTTTTAAATGGGCGGGTTATAGTTCAATCCACACCCACCCCATTCATATAATCATTGATTCATTTCCACTCTGTTGTATTTTCCACAGAGAGAAGTTTTTGAATCGAGTTTGTCTGGAAATGGACCGAGCTCTCAACTGCCGGGTTTGCTGTACAAGAGGACCAAGGACTCTTTCACATGCCAGCAACAGTACTCTGGTGGTGGTGGTTGCATCTGCACGTGGCAACAAAACATGAACGGACATTCAACCATCTGTGTATGTTCATCGTCCAAACATGGATAGGTTTTTAAAATCGACCCGGACATCGAATCAGTCAGGTCCGGTTTTCAGGTCGAACAGTCGGTCGATTCTGATAAAAATAAAAAATAAAAACTAAAAACACAGTCAAAACTGTTAAACGGTTTGAACGGTTCAACTGTTTCAGGTCAACGATTTGTTAACTAAATCAACATTTTTTTTTTGACAAAAATTTGATTTTAGGAAAAAACGAAATTGACCACCTGACCGATTCCTGATTTTTTCAATCCAACCATCCGGTCTGATCCAGTTTTAAAAACCATGGATGAACATGAAAAACAAGTCATTTATAACGTACTTGGGGTTTGGGCACAAGATCGAGTGAGATTTCTTATTTTCATTTTGTCCAAGATTGCTCGCACTAATGGGTAGTTTGTACAGGGAAGATCAAAGAATAATTACTATTCTCTTTCCTTTTTCCCCAAGTCTTATCGACTACATGACAGATTGTTTGTAATTTCTGTACTCTTTTGGGTTCGGTTAATTTGTTGGTTTGAAAGTTGGGTTCACCAGTAAACCCCAGGTTTTTCTCCCTTTTGTTTCCATTACATTTGTTGGGATGTGTATTTGATCGGTCGTAGTTTAATGAAAATGAGTAGTGTATTTATACAGAATAATGTCTGATGATTAATATTCCAGTTTTAGGCTGTCATAAAGCCACCTAACCCATATTTTTCATGTCACATTAAGTATGGGTTTGGTATCAATACAATACCATTCCTTCAGGGCAGGGATCTGCTACCAATACTACGCTGCCAACATGTCCCAACTAGCAATTGCAGTCGCACCTTGGGAACATTTCCCATGCCAGTTGGGACATGTTGGCAGCCTATTATTGGTAGCAGATTTTCTTCAAGTCATTTCTACCAGGTTAGTGTCATGGAGCGTTTTGCTTTCTCCTGTAACTTTTTTTTTTTTGGTTTGGTTTAGCATTTTCTACCTTTTTAAGTAATATTGATTGCCTTGGGTTTTGTGAGAACCACTTTCGAAGAAGATGCCATTTTGATATTTCTCTTGCAATGAAGGCAATGTTTTACCTTTTTGTGCCTATATGGTGCCTAATTCACACTAAATGGCAATTTAAAATTTGCTGAACCCAGAATAACTTTACCAAATTTCAAAGTGCAGCCATTGCCTGAGAAAATGACATTGATACCAAACATAGCCTAAAGATTTCTTGAAAACAGCCGACTCCTAATCACCCCTTGCTTACACAAACGCATCAGCGACTCACATTTGGTGATCTTTGAATCCAAAAAGGGTGACATACAGAGTTTCAAACTTTCAATATTGCATTTACCAGGTTTCTTGTCTCCCTCGTTACTATTTCTAAATCGTCACATCATCCCTTGGTGTGATCATTCTGCATCCAACCCATAACCACCTTGGAATCCCCTTCCTAACACCAACAAGGCTATAGCTTAGTTACCCGGCCATCCTTAGGCCCTGTAGAGTAGCTAGCAATTCTACTATTATCCAGGTTCCATCTCTTAGTCCCTGAGAAGACTAACTTCTGTTCCACCATGCCTCATTCAGGAAAAGACCTTACAATTTAGAGGCTTAATGAATAATGCAGTGCATTATGGAATTTTCTCCCTACAATTTTATTGGTTTTCCTCAAACCCATAAGAATATCAACTTCTTGATCAAATCATCCAAAAGTAACAGTTAAGGTTTTTACTTGCTTCTTCCCTAAAAATGTTGAATTATCAGATGGTAAGGATCATCCATCAGTGTGGTAGGTATTCAAGATTCAACCCTGTGCATTGTCGAAGAAGTAGGCCATCCAAATATATGACCTACTAAGAAACACTATTTGCAAAAATAGAATCTCTACAACATGCATTGTTGCTGCTCTTGTACGTACAAAAAAATGTAAATTAGTTATTATTATGCCTCAAATGTAGCAACTGTACATTCACATATACATTAAATTACCAATAATGGGAACAGATTTTAGGAACTTTTTGCTTACAGTCAGAGAATCTATACTCAAACTTGAATCATAGAAGGCAGTCCCAAAGCCAGAGACCACTTGCTCAACCAGATCTTCACCACAGTGTCAGTCATATGAGTAGGAAAGCCATGGATGCTGCAGTGCATCCTTTGCACTTGGCCGCCTTTCTGGATTGATCTCAAGCAAGTATCTGATAAACTCAACAAATCCCACATCAGAAACCCGTAAGCAATGTTCCAATGATAACTCCTCTGCCATTATATACTCCAGTTGGTTTGTTTCCTAAAAAAAATAGAGATGGAGCAGTTAACTTCTATCAGGTAGAATCCAACACTGAAAATTCAAACCACATGGAATACATGTACTGAATGGGAACCTTTGTTTTAAGGTAGCCAAAGGTGAACACAGGAACTGTCTATCCAACCTAGATGAATAAGTAAATTTTTGGTAAACAAGACATTATAGATAAATACCGTTCTTTTCAGTTGTCTAAATATGACCTCAACTCTTAAAGCTTTTCTGATTAGGGGAGGTTTTATGCTCTTGGCATATTGATGGATATATTATACAGATGTGCTTTCTGTGACAAAATCCTTCCTTCACTATTGTATATTTTGGAAATGATGAGTACCAAGTACTACTAGCATGGGTTCTGAGGCTTGAACTTGAGAACCTAGCCATGAACTGAGGATAATAAATAATAAATGCTTCTTCTACACTGTTGCTGCATCTATAGCCTGCTTTCATGAATTGAAAATTACATTATAATAGGAGAGTTTGCAAATTGCCCTGATACAGTTATATACTGCACGTTCCTAGGGGYGCAACTTGGGTCAGGTTGGGTTGGGAATTTGTTAAATTTTCTTTAGGCCCAAACCCTAACCTGAGCCATATTGTAGTTGAAAATCTTTAAATCAGGCAACTCAACTTGCAGCCATACATGTTCCATGATTCCAGGAACCAGAACTGCAGAACTGAGGTGTTTCGTGCCTAGAGGTTCATGCACCCCCAAAATATGCTTGCAGGTAGCCTGAACCTAACTGCACCTAATCTGCAACAGTGCACCATATTAACTAATGTTCCATTTAAAAAATTAAAAAAAAAAAAACCATTAACTACAGAACTGAGGTGTTTCATGCCTAGAGGTTCATGCACCCTCAACCCCAAAATATGCTTGCAGCCAGGTATCCTGAACCTAACTGCACCTAATCTGCAGCAGTGCACCATATTAACTAATGTTCCATTTAAAAAATTAAAAACTAAGAAGTTGAATTTTATTTGAGAAGAGAAGGGAATTGCAAAGACACCTCATTAATATAATATAAATCATATTCCTCTGTGAAGTACTTTTGTGTCTCCTGGCCCCTCGCTAGCATCTCAAAATCAATAGGGCCAAGCATCCCAATCATGCGTGCAAGCAACATCACCAATGCATCATTTGGAAAAAGTACCTGTTAGAAAGCAATTGTTAGGGAACACAAAAAGAATCATGAATTTTTTCACTCTAATGTCTATAACAGGAGGACCAAGATACTACAACAACCAGAATTTTATCAGTCATTCATATTGTAATGAGTAACCTCACATATGCACACAGATATCAAGATAAAATTATAAATTATACAACAGAATATAAGGTAAATACAGAAATAAAAGAAAAAGAGATAGAGATGGACTGAGGAAGAAACAGTCAGACACAGAGTTATATTTTGAACAAGGCATGAAAACCAGATTGAATTCATTGTAATATCCTTCACATCTAAGAAGCAATGAATTCATTGTTAAGATGCCTGAATAACACTCCATAGAAGAAATTTCCACCTCCAAATAGTTGATTTCTTTGCACTATGTTGTTTTTTTTTTTTTTTGCCAAGCTGTCAAGGTAAGAAAAAACATGAATAAATGCAGCAAGGTAATACAGTATAAAAAATGTAGGGGAAATTTGTTTAATGATCAATATAGACAAGGTCTATCTGAACCCAGAAATATTTTAGTACATTGAAATAAGGCAGCACCATGATCCTAGTTTTCACTATTTATTTCCACGTTTCAGTTTTAACTTCAGATAAAAGGTTTTATTCTTCCGTTTATGTGTGCCTTTGTCTGTTTGCGTGCATTTTACATTTTTTCCTTTATATTTGGATATGGTGTATAGCTGATTTGACCTCTGATTGTTGCCACCACAACAAAGGCAACTTTAGAAGATAGTACAGAAAGCAGAATAATTGAGTGGATCTGTATGCACTCATTATGTATTCACTTTTAAAAATGGGCATTCAATATAACATGGAACACAATAAAAGAAAAAGACACTCTAAGAAAAAGTATCATATTTTGAGCATCTGTATAAATGGAAAATTGAAAAGGGGGAAAAAAGAAAGAAGTTACAATAGAACTATAGAAGATTTAAAACCCTATGGGTTCTGGATATGCAGTAAAATAAAACAAATAATCCCATAATACAGGACAAGAGAAAAGTAAAACAGGAAAAACTTACATCACCAGAGCATAGTTCCGCCAATACACAACCAAGGGACCAGATGTCAATCTTTTGGTCATATGGAAGGCCTAAGATGACTTCAGGTGCCCTATAGGAACGAGATTGTACGTACAGGCATAAATTATCTGTCTGAAAACAACTACTTCCCAGATCAATAACCTTTATCTCACATCTGCTGTAACTTTTGATAAGAATATTCTCAGGTTTCAGGTCACAGTGGATAATTCCCAAGTGATGTAGGTATTCTAGTGCTTCCAAACATTGCCTAGTAATAAGCTGAGAAAAGTAACATGACCAAACATCCTAATTAGGTTTCAAGTGGCCAAAAGTAAATCTTTAATACAAGTACAAAGGTTTAGCATTTCAAGGTCATAGGTCACAACAAAACAAACCTGCAGCCTCCGCATTGTGAAATAGGGTTGACCACCAGAATCTTGATTAAATTTCTGGAATTCATATAAATTTGCTCGTAGGAGTTCACAAACAATGAAGAGATGTTCCTATAGCATTTTAAAAGCCATTAGCCATTGCACTAATAAACAGAAAAAGATTCCATGATAATCAAAATAATCATAAGACTTCAAATTAGCTCATTTGGAGATCTCTAACATCTATGCTGGGTAGGACAGAAAATAAAATAATAATAATATCAGCTCTTTCATGCTTACATTGCATCAATAAATTAATTCAAATAAACAATAACCTAGAAAATATGGTCACCAACAAGAAGGAAGAAATTTGGAACATTCACATATCTATCCTCATGGAACATGGGAATTATATATGTAGTAGTGATTGTTTTAGAAGCCGAAATAGGGGATAATTAATCAGAAAATATAGGTTCCTTTGTAAGATAATTTTTTGGCTTCAAGGCTAACATGAGTGCATTCCCTAAGCCAAAAGTGGTGAAATCAATAGATTGAAGTGGCCTAACTTTTTAATTACATACCTGGAGATAGAAGTAGTCATAAAGCCGTAAAATGTGGTGTTCATCTGTAGGATCATGCCTATTCACAAACTTTAGAAGCTTGATCTCATCTAAACTCTGATCAAAAAAATCTTTATCATTTTTTATTATTTTCAGGCAAACATCCATTCCAGTATGAAGATCATGAGCCTGAACAACTTTACTGAAAGCGGCTGAACCAAGGTATTCTGTGAGACAGTATCTTCCTGCTATAATTTCATTCAGAACGATAGGAAAATCTTTATTTTCTTCAAAACCAGTCCTGCAGTGCATGTAAAATACAAGAACATAAGTGTTTCTCTGAAAAACCAGTGACATAAAACCCATGTAAGTATCTCAAACAAGATTAAGTACCACTTGTAAGACATTTCTGTGACTCCTAAAATGAAAAAAAAAAAAAAAGTGAGTCAATTTATACCAAGTCTGGTATGAACTTGGATCAGCAAGAGCTGAACCAGTCAATAAATTCCAAGTTTCTAACCAGTAAAACAATCACAATGGCTCAGTTGACCCATACTGGTTCATACCAGATTCTTGGCTGGCAAAGTCCTTCTCTTGTACCATTATACATTAAATCTTGATCAAACCTAACAGTCACCAACCTGTTCTTCCTATGTATAATTCTTAGATCAAATACTTCATATTCATCCTCGTGAACTTCATACATCAGATGATCATTTGGAGTAGCACACTCCTCTCCATCAATAGCAGTTTCAGATTCACATGGTTCTCCAACCATTTCTCTACCATCTCCTATTTCATGGTTATTGATTCCATCTGGTTGGACAATCTTATCAGAAGCTTGAAGATGCATATCAGAGTCTTCCTGAAGATCCGAATCCACATTGTCCATAAGGTTCTTTTTAACAGAACCATTGGAACTTCCACTCCTTTTATTCTCCGAGGAAGAACCAGAATGAAATGGATTTTCATAAACAAGTTTTAACTCCAAACCACTTGGTTCAGGTTCTTTCAATCTTTTAAGGTGGATTTGATCCTCCAGTTCCCCACCATTGCAACCTTTTACTCCCATACAGCAGTCATATAGAGGGCCTGAATTGAACTTTCCAGAGCATTTGTCAGGCCCTGTTTTGTCACCTTGTTCAGGTCGAGTAATTTCATCCCATTGATAATAATGTGCCATTGAAAGTCCATCCATGGAGGAATCATTAAGAAGACATGGCTTGTCTAAGTATTTAACAGTTGTCACTGGATGAAACCCTTCTGTTGCAAAGTATAGGTTTGATGATTTATCACATTGCCTGTCTGCCTCTGAAGTTGTAACGAATTTGTCCTCACTAGGGCATTTATAGAAGTCCGACACTCCAAAAAAGGGATATTTGAGATTGCCTCTATCTTTCTCATCATACCAGTACATGCCATTGAACATATCAGGGTCGGGGTAATCACGAGCCGTACCAAATTCAGAGAGTCTATCTGATGAATCGTCGGAGTTATCTTGAGCTGCATATGGATTTGTCAATCCTGTTGAAAGTGTGAAAGGGTGAGCTTGGCCTAAGCATAATAATATACCATAGAGACCTACCTAGTAATTGACAGCAATATAATAAGCAACACTAAACAAAATTAATGTCTGCATAAAGCACAAATATTCATTGGTGCTTTTATGCCTCTATCCATGACCTATTTGGTTGTTGAATTTGGCACTTTAGAATCATGTTTCAATCATATAGTAAAGAGAATAACTTGCAAAGAGGTAAGTGAGCCCAAAAGGAAACATGGAAAAGCAAGGGAAAGGGAAGTGGTCCATAGTCATGAGTTCCAGACAACTAAATATTTATTAGAAAATGCACTTCGTCAACCACTCAACATAGATTTGGCTGAAAAGGTAATGCGATTTTCTTAAACAATCTACAGATGCAGAGGCAAGTATTTTACAACCAGGCTGGTAATGGTAGAGAATAAATCAACAGAAAAGTAAGGCTTCTAGGTATTAGAGAAACATCAAAGAGAGGGAGTGTCTGGTAATCTTCTATTGCAGTAATACAATGTCTCTATCGTTGTCAACTCGGTATGCTTTCTAAAGGGAAAAAAGAAAATGATCAACGGTGCCAAGCCGTAACTGCAGATAACAAATTTCTAGCTCTGCAAAAAAAAAAAAAAAGGAAAAAAAAAAGTTTATAGATCACTGTTTGGCGACACAACGAGTATCATTACAGCGGTTACACCTTTAAGTTCTATATCTACAATCAATAGCTGATGGAACACAGGAACAGAGACCGGGCTGAAGTGATAGTGTAACACAGTATCCAGTAAATTAAATATATATAGAGAGATTAAAACCCACAAAAAAGTCGTGAAATTTCATCATTTACAGACAAACTGAAACTACTGAAACATAAAATATGACCAACCAATCTATATCGTAGAGTCCACCCACTATCGAAATCGATTTAATAATTTCAACGACTTTGAAACCAAATTGTAAATTCAGAAACAGAGAAAAAAAAGATTGAACTTTTCTATCGTATCGTACCAGAAGGAGACACTACGGTAGTAGAAGAACCCATGCTTACAAAATCATCCGAAGAGTCAGAGCTCGAATCAGAACAATTAACTCCATTGCAAATCTCCGATTGCCGGCTAGCCGAAAGAATTCTCAGCGGAGGAGGTGGCGGATCCATCGGGAACATGAATTTCTCGAAATCGAAAGAGCTCACCTCCTCCTTCCTCTCTACGATATCGTCTCTGAGAGCGGAAGCGGCTTCGGGAAACCCATTCTTCATCAAGAAATCTAAAACAGCTTCGACCCCCGAGACCGCCATGGACGCGCGAATTCAAATTCAGAGTGAGAGGAGAAAACGAGAAGCCATTTACAGAAAGTGAACTGAGACGGTCAAAAGAGGAAATTAAGGTTTGCAATTGCATGCTTGAAGAAGGATCTCCTGCTGTAAAACTGAAGCCAACGGTGAACGGCCAAACCCGAAGAAAAACGAAATTTCTCTCCCCCTCAACTTCGAAAATTTTCGGTCTTTTTTCGAGTTTTTTCTTCTTTTCCTATGGGCCCATTTCCTGAAACCAGGATACGCGTAACAATCCACCGCTTCCACGTCTCTTTTAAATATTCCTTTTTCCGTCCCCGTCTCCCCAATTTCAGATTTTATCTCATATCGCCTAGATTCTTTGCGACGATCTTGGGCGTCATCGTTAATAGACGTTAGGCCGTTGGGGTTCGTGATAGTAAAACAAAAAACAGAAACACAGGTACTGAATGTAAATATGAAAAAGAACAGGGGCTATATGTAATAACGAAAATAAGTCCATTGTTTGGTGCGAAGTCAATCAAATTAGAGTCGTTGGTGACGAGGGACCAGTTTTACTTTTAGCTACCTAGACGTTTTTCCTTTTTTTTTTWAGTTTTTTTCAATTATTCAAATAATTTCCTTTTCTACTTTTCAGACACAGAATTAAAACTTATAAATTAAAAAATAAGGTCAAGAGGGCAATCATCCAGTGTGTTGTGTATACAAAGAAGATCAGTGTGGTAATTAGTCATCAAGAAGCGAGATTGCATGGCTTAGTGAGGAGTCCAGATACGGCAAGAAAGAATATGGCCAATATGGGCTATGAGCCTGCGTAGACCCAACAAGTCCAGTCGGTCATAGCCCAATAGGTGAAGCTCCAAATTTGTGGGTCACCGAAGAAATTGCATTGGCCCAGTTTTGCAGTTTGCTTGCTTCGCAATGAAAAAAAAAAAAAGTGAGGGTAAATTTGGAAGGGGTGAGGGAATTGATTTTGGGAAGAGGTGATGGGGTGGGGCCAGATATTCGAAGTATGGGTTTGGTTGGACTTACCTTTCCAGTAAACATGAATAAATAGTGTCTGAGAGTATGCCCCACGTCACAGCATGATTTTGTTTGTGGAGAGAGCGACGCATACTCTTCTGCCACTTTTAGCCTCCTTTTCCATGTGCATGGGCCATGGATTGGTTTGGTGTCATTTTGTTTCCTTTTAAGGCCTTTCTTTAATCTTTTAAACAAGTTTGGGTTCGATTGGATTGGGTTGGATACTTGGATCGGGTCGTGTAACCTATTGGGCCTTCAAGTCCACAAGAACCAGAGCCCTGATTCCATCAAAAGCAAAAAAGAAGGGGGAAAAGTGAGAGAGAGACAGAGAAAGAGAAAGAGAAAGAGAAAAAGTATTGACAGTTTACGGGCCATGATGAGAAGTTAAAGTTTGGAYTGTGTTCATGGATGGACGTTGGACTGGTTGGAGCAACGGACCATCATTGTGTCCATAAAAGGAATAAAAAAATGAAACTCGTAAGTACAGCCTCTATTAGGGAGATGCTAAACATTTGAACCCAATAAGGATTTAAGGATTTTCAAAACAAAAAAAAAAAAGGTTTAAGGGCGGGGCTAAAGTTTTGGGGAACGAGATGCACGCTACCTGAATAGCTGCAGTCATGATGAGTATGCATGAAAGCAGCAGCTACCGCGTGCGTCACTTCAATGTTATGTCAATGTAATAATAACAAAGCCTAAAAGGTTATTTCATTTATCTTTGGACTTCGAGTTATGAGTTTTGGTTGGATAGAGATATCTAAATATAATGATGATCATGTGTTTTAAGTCTTTGGGTTAATCATCTCAGAAATCTGAAATTACAGTTTTTTCCTATCCTATCCTATTCTGTTAGTAGAGTTTCTATAAACTTTATTCTACTCGTGAATTTGAGAATTCATTTAACCTGTACGGTGAGGGATTAGAACGTATAGTTGATGTGGACTCTTTATGAACTACGTTCATCGTGAGCGGTAAATTAGCAAAATGAACAATGAAACATTGAGTTGGAAGATATTTATTGGCAGGTGATCCCGACTTTGAAGCATTTCCTGTTTCATAAATGATGAAATGAGATCCAAAGGCTTTGGGCCAATTCCCAACAAAATACATTCCAACATGATCTGATACTATACATCAGATACGACAAGTCTTACTCTCTTGTAATGGGTGGTCTTCAACATAATGTGCGCAGCATCAGATTATCTTGGAAATGTGTTGGAATGGTTTCGTTAGTCTCATTCTGAAAGCTGAATACAAATGCCTAGAGTGTAAATCCTTATATTTTATATTGTTTTATATATTTGTATTTGTATCTGTATCATTTTCATTTTCAAATTTTAATTAAGTTATATGATACAGGGGCAGAGTACGGACATGTGGTTCAGCAATCCACTAAAAGACAAATTAATAAGCGATCCGGTTCAACTAATTCAGCCGTAATCAAATGGGTCCTTCTCCCAAAGGAAGTTTCCTATGAAGGTTAGCTTAAATTTAGGACCTGCCCAGCAGTAGTGGGCCTAACCCGAATGGGGTAAGCTCAATTTTGCCGTAGACTAAGAGTCTAAGACCGGCCATTCATATCACTACTGAAGTTTAGGTTGCTTTTGTTTTTGGTGTAAATGAAAACCAGGGAAAATTGTACACCGGTTTGGTTTGAGTTTTCTTATGTTTGTTTTAAGTGTAAGTTTTATATCGAAAACTGATATAAACTTCATTTAAGGTGGAGTTTTATAGAATACTTCGATTTTATTAGTGTAATTTTTTATATGTTTATCACTTTAACAATTTATTATATTTAAACCGATCGATTCACTTTTCAATCGATGTACTTTTACATAAAAAGAAACAAAAGCAATCTTATTTAATTTTCATTGGTTTACATTTCACAAAATGTATTTTTATATTTAACAACTTGTATTTACAAAATGGATAGGAAAAGTGAGTAGAAAATCTGGGCTCTATTATTTCACCTTTTGACTATGGCTTTTAATCCATTTACATGCACGATGTCCAGGTCATTTCTCAAAGCTGCACAGATTTTGGGCCAACATGTCAAGCAGGAGTGGTCCGAGGCCCACAGTTTACCTCTTGTCCTTAATTTAGGATGATCAGTCCTCTACAGTCATCAACCAGCAGAAGACTTTCAGCTGGCACAAAATTTGTGTTTTTGAAGCAAAATATTTCGACAACTGTCAAAAAGGAAAGTTATATTTAAACTCTTCTGAAAATAATGCCTTATAATATATATATATATATATGATCCAAAGATTTCGGATCATTACTTGTGTGTGTGGGCCCTCTTAGATGGGATTCCTCCAATGAAGGGTTCTGATTTTCTGAATATCTGCCACATGGCAAATTATGATAACCCCATACTACAATTAATGGTCATCTATCTATCCCCAGACTTGAGCTCTTAGACCATCATAACCACACGGATTAGATGTCACACCCACCTTATTATTAAGCCCGTAGACCATCATCAAATTTATGTTAAACAAATAATACAAGTGGGTCGATGACATGAGTAACAGTTCATCATTCGCTCACTACTCCTTTACAAAAAAAAAAAAAAACAAGAATATGCCCCCCTAATATTCTTCAATGTAGGAGATGTGTACAAGGATAATCAAATTATTCTGACCATTAATGTCCCTTTCAAATAAAACAAAGTGTTTTGTCAAGTTTATCAAGCCAAAATCCAAAGAGTGATTATTTTTGGAAAAACAATGGTGTTATCCATCAAAATAAAAAAAAAAAAAAAGCAGAAAGAGTAAATCTTCTTGGGACATTGATCTGTATGGATTAACTAGGAGAGCAATTAAATCAAAGCCTTTGATTTATTGTCATGGCCCACCTTAAATTAGATGAAGAGACTTATTGGCGAGGCCACTGCAGTATACCGAAGAGGCCATGGTTTTCTGTTTTAGTCACACGCTACAATATCGTCATAGCAAAAGGGAATTCGGCTTAAAATATCACAATGCATCGGTGGATATTGTATAATAATTTATCGGTTTCGCAAACACTATCTATTTAATTAGATTAAGACTTTTTTAATATGTTCAAATGTTAATATTCACCATAATATATTTATTTGTAAATGTAGCAAATTGAAAAAAAAAAATTAGAAAGAGTTATACATTTTTTACGTATTTAGTATATCAATAGTTTGAACCATGAGTGTCCATGTAAAAAAATCCAATATAAGACAATAAATTTTGAGAGAAAAAAAATGGATACAGTTTTAAAGAAAGATGGTTTTAGAATGGAAGAGAGAAAGTACAAGAAATTTAAGGAATTGGGAAAGTCAAGGAGGTATAATGTAGTGATTGGTGATTCGCCTCATGTCTGGATCATTGCCACTTTTAGGCCCAGTTTGTTTTTCGGTAAGTTATTTATCCAGGTAAATGCAGTTACTTACCCAGGTAAGTGCATTTACCCATGTTTTTCTATTTCTCATGTAAACAAGGCAATGACCATTTTAGCTATAAAAATCTATTATTAAATGGGGYTTTTTTGTCTCATTCAAGTGTTGACAACTTTTCCCCTAGGTGGGAAAGCTATTTATCCACCTAGGAGATGGGAATCACTTGAACTTTCCCTGATCTCTACATAAATGTGAAAAAGGAACATGTCATTCTTGGTCAATGGAAACTAAAATCCCATTGACCAATTTCCCCTCTCAAAATATGAAAAAAAACRCCCCCTAAAGATTACAAGTTGGGTTGTCCGATTTATAGAATTTCAACCACATAGAGTTTGGGTTAGGGTGTGGGTACATTGAAAAGTTAGAAGTTTCCAACCCAACCCAACCCAACCCAAGTTGCATCCCTAATTACTTTGATTTATTTATTAATTTATTTTTCTCTCCACTATATTCTTTCTTCTATTACACTTGACAATGTGGTAAAAAAGAAAAAAAAATGTATATAAATGAAAAACAAATTTGTGAAAAGATAGAGAGGAGACGTGTGTTGGAAAAAAAAATCACCAACCTTTTTTTTGAAAAAGATATAAAAATATGGTGAAAGCCATGGACCCATAAGGGTTCCAGTTGCTGGATATGTCACCCTCTATGRCAGATTCTCAAGCTTTAACACAACAGCCTCTGCTGACTTACTTGTAGTAATTTGCAAGTAATCCCTCAAACAAAGTGATTCACAATACTCAAGCTTTTGGACTCCCACAGGTCACAACCATCATTATTTTTTGGAGGAAGAGATTTCAAATGACCTTGAACTTGAGCTTGCAGATAGATTGCAATGTGGGATCAAGGGCTCCTTCCTGTTATTTCATCCTAAAATCACAAACTACCATACACTACTTGAATCATATTGAAAAACTCTTTTGCATATTGAAACCTCCGATAGAATTTGTGGTAAAGGGAACTTAGCTATTGTAGCCTCATTACCTAATTGGTACTCCAATATCAAGCAAAATTTGAGTAGCTTTTGGAGAGCAATATTTCATTTGTATTGGTATAAAAGCTTCAAATTAAAACATGTTTCTGTATGATAGAATTTGTGATAAAAGAGATCTGGGAAGTATTTAGAGTTCAATGGCTGCACGTTACATCTAAATCTTAACCATTGATATTAAAAACATCTTTACTTTTTCATTGATYCATGTTTCATAAACTATATTTCATGTTTAACAACGTGTGCTTTGACGTTTAACAAGGCATGAACCAAAGGTATCATTGGTCCACATCTTTTACTGCCCGGGTGCCAGAAACTATATAGCATTTTCTTTAAGAATGAGTGTAGGGCATAAATTGGAATTCAGATCTCCTAMCTACACCTACCCACATGGCACTACAGCTGTGTATTGGGAAATGGCCAATACAGTTGTAATGAGGTGTGTGTAGGAGATCGGAACTCCCTAAATTGATGCACCAACTATCTTTCTGAAAAGACACACAAGAAAGGAAGAAATGGCCTTCTAGGATGCTTTCAAAAGGCCAAAAGCAGTCACCACACATCATCTCCTATCGAGGCTAGCCCCACAACATGATCAAAGTATTCTGGTGATGGTTGAGCTAGCCAAGGATGTCATGTGGCAACCTCCGTGGCCATTCTCTTTTTTTCCACGTCAATACCGTGTGACATAAGAACACGACTAGGAGGGAGTGTCCTGCATGGACAAGGAAGCGGACTCCGCCGGGGRAGAGAAAACCTCCCGAAGACYTCGGCGGACAACCTCATCTTGATAACTCTGGAAGCCCTATCCATCTAGAACATGGACATCTAACTATAAATAGRTATTCCCCGCTCAAGGTAAGAGACTTTTTGAAAAAACACTTTGAATATCTCTTCGGCCCGAACCAATATTATTATCCCAATCTGCTCAGCCCAGCCACCTCTTTCTTTACCAACTAACTTGAACGTCAGAGTATCTACCCGAGGAATAACTCCTCAGGCCTCTAACCTTTCTCCTGGTTATAGATCTCAGTGTGCGACTTCGTCCATTCACCTCGGCCTCATCCAGTTGACAATATCATCTAATTGTGCCATCGATTAAGAACACCTCAAATGGGACAACATCATAAAGTTCCATGATTTCAGCTGTATTTAAATCAGATGTCCATCTGGGTAGAGAAAATCATACACACTATAGAGGCTACTTTACCATCTTGATGACTAAAAACTTCCTCAAATATTCTGGACCTGGATTTCAAGAGACTTAGCTATAATCTCGAATATTGTATTGATATATAAATTCTTTCATGAATCCTAAACATTGAATTAAGTTGGTTCATTAATATTGTTTGCATGTTAAATTCAGCTTTTTCATCGATTCATGTTTTCCGAAGTGTACTATCAGTCTATCACATAACTGTCTTTTATCATATGATGATGCGGAGCATACATCATAGATTTTGCCTGATGATTCAAAACGTTTCTGCTTATATCAGCTCCACCAAAACTGGACAAGAAACGGTAATGCAATGCCACACTCTTATCCTCATTCAAACACTTGAGCAAATTCCGGCCAGTTTTCTAGGTCATAGATGAGAAGTTTAGATAGTCTATCAATCCAGAAGACAAGAGATACGAATCCAATGGCACCTCATATCCTACTACAAGTTGGTAGATGGTAGTAGTACTAGGGGTGAGAATGGGCCGGTTCAGTTCACTTTCATGGCATAACCTAGAATCTATCCTGTAAGGGTCGATTCCAAGTTTTTAGAACCAAAACCTATCCTGTGAAGGTCAGTTTCAGGGTTGATTATAGCCTTAGTGGTCCTGGGGTCGATTCTAGGGCTTACCCATGGAACTTGTACTTTCTTTACTCTCTCCATAGTTTAAAACTTTCTATTGATTAAATTAGATTACTCAATATGTAGATAATCATTATATGGTTAAAAACATAAATTAAATTTAAACTTTGTAAATATTACCTTTTACACTACTTATTGTACACATTCAAATATTAAAACAAAAGCAAATGATCAAATCACTTAAGTAACTCAATGATCAAGTGAGACCATGGCCTTCGTAATCATGAATACTTGGATCCAAATCTTCACATCCCCAAAAGTATACTATGGTTTATTTCAAGGCAAATTCAGTTTCAACAATATTGGTTCCACTAAAGCCAATCAAGGCCGGTTCGGGTAGGGTAAACCCCTAGACACTGGAACCAGTCTGAGTGGGAATCGATTCTAAGAATTTGAAATCAGACCCTATTCTATAACAAATTAAGTAGGATCAGTTCAAAGCTGACTTGAGGCCAGTTACATTCAATTCTGTAGAACCTATCCATTTGCTCACCCGTAGATAGTACCAACAAAAGCGACTGTGGATATGTGACAATACACGAAAAACCAATTTAATACGGGTATCTCGTGAGATAGACATCCATTTGTTAAAACTTACATGGGCCAGAAGACTTCTAGGAGATTTGGGCTTGGCATTTCTTATGGGTCTAAATGGATTCTTCGGGCCCATTTCTAAGCCCCGACTTGCGCTTCCTTCTCCTTCCCCGTGGCCCCTTCTTTCTCGCTATCTCCAGTCCCGCACCAGCGCACCTAGTGGAAATTTCCGGCCAAAAAAACTCAGATAAGCCAAACTGCAAACGCGCGCAGAGACAGAGACAGACATACAGAGAGAGATAGGGAGAGAGATGGGGGTGGACTACTACAAGATTTTACAGGTTGACCGAAATGCAAAGGAAGATGACTTGAAAAAGGCGTATCGGAAACTGGCCATGAAATGGCACCCAGACAAGAACCCTAACAACAAGAAAGAAGCCGAGGCCAAATTCAAGCAAATCTCTGAAGCTTACGATGTAATAACTCTCAATCGTCAATCCTATTCCTTCTTCTCCGCCCTCGTTTGTTTATCTACTTGTTTATTTGTTTATTGTTATTTGAAAAGGTTCTGAGTGATCCACAAAAGCGAGCAGTCTACGACCAGTATGGCGAAGAAGGTCTCAAGGGTCAGGTCCCACCTCCAGGCGCCGGTGGGTTCGCCACGTCCGATGCCGGTGGCCCCACGATGTTTCGGTTTAACCCGAGGAGCGCCGATGACATATTTTCTGAGTTCTTTGGCTTTTCGAGTCCATTCGGAGGGATGGGAGACATGGGTGGGTCGCGCGCCGGTGGCTCAGCTTTTCCGAGAAGCATGTTTGCTGAGGATATTTTTGCTTCATTTAGGGGCGGAGCAGGAGAAGGTTCTGCTAATGCACCACGTAAAGCACCTCCAATTGAGCGGACACTCCCCTGTAGTTTGGAGGATTTGTACAAAGGGACGACCAAGAAGATGAAGATTTCGAGGGAAGTTGCTGATTCCAGTGGGTGGGTTTCTTTTCTTCTTTTCTTCATAATTCTTTGTCGGATTCGCAATTCATGGGTACCTTACATTAACCGATATGATTTTAAAATCGAAAACAGGCTAATTGAAGTACAGATGCATTTGTAATACCTTTGCATGGGCTTCTTCGACTAATCATTTTGACATGGTTGGAAACTTGGAACTTGGAAATCCTCATATTCCTAGAGAAAGAAACATATTGCTGATCGATTGTAATGCAGCTATGCAGTTGGTTGTCTCATATTTCTCTGTTTAATTTTCTTTTCTATAATTTTGTGCTTGTATTATTTTGTTTTAGAATAAGATCTCTGATATCCACAGAGGAAAAAATTAGTTATCATTGATGAAATAGAAAATTTATAGAGGATCTGGTTTATTTGATGGCAGAACTATGGAAGAAATATTCAATTTGGATCTTATSATTCAGATCAGATATGTTCCAAAATTATTTGCTTCCCATGATTGAGTCCCTTTTAGGAAGTACTTTTAGTCCTAGTTTGAATTTTATAATTTATTATTCCAATTTAAATATTGATGGATTTCACCATATCTTTCCACATTAATCTCCAAGATTTACTACAAATTGATCCTAGAGAAATGCTCATTAGCACTATGAATGTCCCAGACATGAAGGAACATTGAGTGGGCCCATGGTGCTAGAATTCCTTATAAAACCTATTGTGCTATTTCTAGATAGATTCTTTTTCCTATTTTGGCTTTATAAAATTTAATGAAAGCTTCATCTGCATTAAGAGCATCTCTTTGCTATTGTTAGCTTTTCTTCAGTTTTTCTAAACTTGAAAACAAAAGGATAACCTTCTTCCAATGATCCAATCAAGTAGAGTTGAAGTCCTTTATATTCAGGAATATTTTACAAGATTGGTGATATTTAAAACAAATTTCCCATTAGAAACAAAGTAGAAGGATAACCTTCTACGAATTAGGTTTTGATCAGATGGGTGAGAGAGGGTTGTGATGGTCCCTGGATGCTTAGACATAGTATTTGTGCGGCTAGATCTTTGGCATTCTAGGCGAACATCATGTTTAGATGGATTCCAAGATATTCGGACCCCCTGGCTGATAATTTAACAAGATAGGGAGTCAACAGACGTGAGTTATTCCAATCTGCTATTATACGGTAGACATGATCTTGGGATGGTTTGTTATTGTTTTTTATCTGCTTTTAGTTCTTTGGCTACCCTTTGGTTAAGGTTCGAGGGTTAGTCCTCACTCATTAAAGGGCTTTCTATACTCTTCATTTTTAGTTGCTTAGTAATTTTTTTCCTTTGCAGATAAAGAAGATCCTGGTTAACACATGGTGATGGGAAAAGTGGATATGATTTGGGATCATTGCAGTTTCACTCAATTAGATACAAAATGAACTCAAGCAATTACAGTGGGGATTTAGGTTTTCTTTTTTTCCCCCTTTTCTGCCCTGTTCAAACATTAGTAATGTGTTAAATCTAAATAATGTGGCACAAGAAGTTGAAAGGATGAATAGCTAACACTAAAGAAGCAAAGAATATGTAATGGTTGCATTTGTGAAAGAAGGGACATATGAAGTATATTAGGTGGTACTTTTTGGACGTTCACTTGGCCAAGTTGGTTGGAATGTTCTCTTTGGGTGGTGGTACCTTTGCTGAAGAAACATTTAGGAGATTGGAAGACGAGGATAGTGATATGACTGGAATTAATGTTGAGCCTAATTGGATAAAGGTTTTAACCTTATCAAGTGGGATGTATTCGAATTGAAGCAAGAGGTGGTGCAAGATGGGGAATCCAGGAAATTATCAAAAAAAGAAAGATGGGGATTGCAGGAAGCTGGAGTGAGGTTTGGTTAGAAGCTCTAGGTTCAGGCAGTGATTTAAAAGGCGCGCCTAGGTGCACAAGCGAGTCGCATTTTAGGGTAGGCGCCTTGCCCAGGTCCTAGGTGCAACACTTTCAAAAGGCGCACCAGGTTAGAAGCTCTAGGTTCAGGTAGTGATTTAAAAGGTGTACATAGGCGCACAGGTGAGGGTAGGCACCTTGCCCAGGCCCAGGTCCTAGGCACAACACTTTCAAAAGGCGCACGCCTGGTGCGCCTTGCGCCTTAGCCCAGGCGTGTGCCTTTTGAAAATTTTACGCTTTTTTTTTTTGCGTTTTTTGAACCTAGTGGCTGTATTGGGGGCATGGCACAAAGGTGACTCGTAGAATCAGGAATTTAATATGTTTTACATCACATTAGCTACTTGTAGAAGTGCAATTGAGGAAAAAAAGAGATTGTGGGTTTTACATGCTTGAAGATGTTTTATATGTTTGATTTCATTATTAAATTTTCATTTCAATATGCTTTACATGTTATGGTTATGCATTTGAATTTTAGATAATATTTTTTAAAACATTTATTTTAAAACTTAAGTTTATATTTTTTATTAATATTATGTTTTTTTTTGCATTTTTTTGGATTTTTTTGAAATTTCTGACATTTTTTCTATTTTTTACCTTTTCTTTTGTATTTTTGCGCCTTGCTTTAAAAAGGCGCTTCCCTTGCCTTGCGCCTCGGGTGCAAATTGGCCCCTGTGCCTTGCACTTTTAAAACACTAGTTCAGGGAGGAGAAGGGGTTGGAATTGGTTGGAATGGTTATGAGCTGACTGTCTGGTTTGGTGTGGTGGACTAAATACTGTTTTCTTTGGCTGCTTTTAGTTTGGTTGGGTTGCATTTATTAGGGACTTTTGTATAACAACTTTTGTTTTAGGGGGGGGTGTATATAGAGTTGTTTAGTTTTGATTCTTCATTATTGTTTCTTTTTTTGCTCAGGTCTTCAATACTTCTTCTATGCCAATTGTTTTGCAGAAAAATCTTTGTTTTTCTATAGAAAATAAAATATGGATCAGGAACTCCAGATTAGAAAACCATGATAAATCAGATTGCATTGCTGCCCTCCTTCAAAAGAGAGCAATTGTTTATATGAAGGGAATGCCTGCTATGAAACTAACACTCAATGGAAGTTAGGTTGCAATTTTATTATTATTTTTCTTGTTGAAGTAGAATGTCATAAAAGACTAATGGCCCCATGTTGATGAACTTGGACATGGATGTGGACCTATAAGGCTATAATTAACTTGGTTATGGGCAATCAGAAATAGGGGGCACTATAAGGGATGTTGTTAAGTTACTCAGTTTCAGTTGGTTTTGGCTTTCCTTTGAGGGCTGGGATGCTTGATCTTCTTCAAGGTCTCAGATTGATCTGTTCTTTCAATTATTGGAATTTAATTATAGGAGAGTGCCAGGTTGCATCATCTTGATTTTCCTCTTTAGTGGATGGCCCTTGGATCTATACTTGATTAGAGGCAAAGGCTGTGGTATCTGACTTCTAACATAATCTGTGCTTACTCTCCAAACATTTCCCTTAGTCTTAGCCTCAGGTCAACCATGTGGATAGCTTGAGTTCATTTTGCCTAATTTTTTCTAGTCTTGGGCTTAGACAGTTGAAGGCTTGGTGTAGACAATGGTGATGATGATATATCTAAACAAGCCAAGGTTATCAAAGTTTGACTCAGGCTTGTTTAGCTAAGCAAGGTAGGCTTTGAGGTTGAGATTTGACTGAAACCAAGTTGGGTTTATTCTCAAACTAACATTAAAATGGATGATGATAACATTAACTAAACAGGTTGAAATGTTCCAATGTAAGTGTATAACTTGGATCCTATCTTCCCATAAGTGCTTCCCATGTAGGAGAAACCATCCATTACTTGACATTGTTAAATTTTGGGAACATGTTTGGGTTGGGAGCTCCCCTCTTAAGGAACAATTCCCCTCTCTTTTTGCACTTTCTGACCTAAAAAATGAGCCTTTATCCTCATTTGTTGTTCCTTCTAATTCAAGTTTTGGGGTTGACTGGGATTTGGGCTTTAGGATTGTGAGCTAAATAGTGTTCTGGCTTTACTTCAAATCCTTGATGGGGGGGGGGGGGGTGCTTGGATCCTTCTAAACATGATAGTAGAATCTGGACTCTCTCTTTCTATAGCTCCTCCTTTGCTTCCTTTTTCAAGGTTTTAACTCTGCATAAATCTAGCATTGGTCAACCTTTTCCTGTCAAGGAGATTTGATGTAAGCCTATTCCACCAAAGATTAGAGCTTTTTGCTAGGAAGTTATTCATGGAAGAATTAATACCTATGACCTGCTCAAAGAAAGAGAACTAATTGGTGCTTATCCCCTCACTGGTGTGTATTGTGTAAAGCCAATGGTGAGACTTGCTATCAATTATTAATCTTCTGTCCTTTTGTTTTATGTTTCCGAGAATGGTTCTTCTCCTTGTTTGGGTGTAGGTGGAATCCCACAGCTGTCGTGCGAAGCTTGTTTGACTTTTCCTTCTTTGGTGGGCAAAAGAAAAGGGGAATGGGTATGTGGAGGTGCACAAGGGCTGCTATTTATTGGACTWTTTGGGAAAAAAGGAACCCAAGGAATTTTCATGGATAAGGAGAGAAGCAAAGAAGCCACCATAGAGACTATTACAATTAGAGTGGCCCATTGGCTGAAATCTTTGGACATCTTTTCTTCTGTCTCAGTGAATGACATCATCTTAAACTGGAAGGAATTGGCAAATTTTGCTCCAATTAAGGATATTAGCATTCCTACTTGGTCTCACCAAAGCTCAACTTTGATGGAAGCAGTTAGGGTAACCTGGGTATGTCAAGAATAGCAATGTTTAGGGATGAAGAGAGAAAAAAATATTGGCTTTTTATTCTGGCCCTATTGGAATAGGACATTCTCTAATAACTAAAATTTTGGCATTATCTGAAGGAGTAAAGAGGGTGAGATCTTTGAACATTAGAAACTTAGTTATTGAAGGGGACTCTAAAATCCAAATTGGTTGTGGGATGGTTACTAAGTGAGGAGGCAAAACTGTGGAGTTATAACAACGAAAGGAGGAAATTCAAATGGTTCATACAAAATATGGAAGTGAGAATACGATGGGTCAAAAGGAGTGGAAATTCCTTTGC